ACTCTGCGAGGCGGCTCCACACACACACGCACACGCACACGCACACACACTAGGGAGGGGGGGGGGGCAAAACAGGGCTTCTCCCAATGACAACAGCGGTGGATCTCAAACTCCAACGCGGGCGGGTGACGCAATCGTCTCTCCTGCCGTGACACCGAGTGTTGCAATCGTTTTCACAGCGAAATGTTACTTCTGGGAATCGCGACTGTAAGAAGAAAAAAGAAAAAATAGGGTGGGGGGGGTTTAATGAAACCCTATTTTCCGCCTTGAGTCGCTTTGCACCGACATCTGAAATATCTCCAACAATATAGTGACCGCAGCAAAAAGGGGAAATGTGAACATATCGGTTGAATCCAGGAGATTTGGCAGCATGGTGCTTGTTTATTTTGTTGTTGTGTTGCTATATTATCTATATTACCATGTATTTACATGTACTATGGTGTCATTCCAAACTGCTCCTCTCGCCCGTGATAATCGGGTCTGTTTTAATCTGATCACATTTATAACATTAACGCTTCTAAAACTTCCAAACCACCAACACTTGTTTTTAATCTCCACGTCGTCCTTCCTCAAAGGGGGGGCTGGATCCCTCCAGTGTTTACACGCACTGCTGTTAGTGCTGAGTCCCGGTCTGGGTGCCCCCCCCCCCGCCCCGCCCTTCTTCAGAGTGCGGGGTCACGGAGGGGTGAAGCTCCCGGTACCTCGGAGGGTTATCCAGGAGTCAAGCCGCACAGAGGCATTCACAGTCATGAGCCGCGGAGCCGCCAGACGCTCCGTCAACGCCGCGGCCGTTTGACCACTCCGCGCTAATGGGACAAGGACCCCCCCCCTCCGGACCCCCGGGTTCCGCCGTGCACGTCACAGCGGCCCCCCATAAAAGCGCACAGGAGGATGCTAACCAAGATGAATGCACGACCCCCCCCCCCTCTCAACTCGTTCTATACTAATCAGAGCTTTTCATTTGTTATGGCCCCTCCACCGCCGCCTCCATTAGGGCCAGATAACGTATAAATTAATTAAAGTCAAAGAGGGACGTTAAAATGGTCATTTGTCAGACGTCCCTTTGTGCGTCCCTAATGGTGGCACATGGTTTTCGAGGCATTGAGGTGATTTCGTTGGGGCTTTTCTTCCTCTCCAGTGTGCGTCGGGAGGGGAACGTGGGAACTGGAGAACGGTGCACTTTCAGATTCAAAAGGTAAAACATTTTATTGTTTCAATTATTTAATTGTGAATTTGCGTTGCTCTCTTAGAACAAAGTCTATCCTGCACAAACCTGTTATTTTGTTTTCATTTTTATCCCACCCTATTGTTGTGATGGGTTCTACGTTTTCATTTCTTTTGTTTCTGCCTAATTGGAATGAAATGTTTTATTCTGGTGGCCAATTCATCCATCAACTTCAGAATCCCCCCCCCCAACATACACACACACAGACTCACAGTCAATGAAGCAACCCTTTGCACTAATCCCTTTGTATTCCCACCACCATTCCCACCAAACAATGTCCTAAAGCCTAATCCTAAACCCAGCTCTACAGACCTGGGCCACCTGCTAGCAAGTCACAGTTTAGCTAAGCGCTGAGCAACGAACCGCCTGTTTAAAGACACCTAACCGCAGGTCCCATGATTACAGGGAGCAAAACGAGCACGAATATGCAGCAAACACCCGCAAAAATGCATTTCCTCTCTCCCCTGTTGGCCCCCCGTCCTGCGTTTTTCCCCGTCTCTTTCTGTGTCCATCCCTCTCTGGGCTTCAGGATGGAGATTCTGGCTGCGTCGTCATGGGAGACGGCTCCCTCCATCTGCCTCTGCTGCCATTAGCCCATCTTCACCAAGCTTTACCCCCCCCCACACACACACACACACCCTCCTGGACCCTCTTCACAATTCTGACAACCCCTGCCCCCTGCTCCATACATACGGCTGAGATGATAAGTGTTCCCCCTCTTTGTGTCGGCCAGGATACGACAATGCCACACAGCACTACAGAACATCATCCATCTCGCGGGTCATCAATCTGGGACACAAAAGATGAAATGTAGCTCGAACTCCCTTTTGCAAAGAGGTTTCTCTTTGCTTAGAGGAAGCTCGTCCTCTGCGCTCCTTTTCACCGCTGGATTACTGGTTCACCAACAAATTCTTCTGCTTTGCTTTGAAAACAATTCGAAGCATTACAAAAAATAAAATAACGGGAATTGCACAAAACGCACAAGTATCCAGACATTATTTCGACATCCCCAGTGATAGATGAACTCTGTTTCAGTTCCTCTGCAACAAAAATATGTAGCCGATAAGGAACGCCAGATTGAAAACAGGCGCTGGACCAGAACAGGCCAGATTTAATTGAATTTATTTGGTGGCAAATACTTGCCCCGTAATACACAAACAGATACCAACATCTACTTTTTCATTGTATTCAGGTAAAATAACCCCACTGAGATTAAACTGTTCTTTCAGAAGCGGCCCAAGAATCAGCATTCCACAGTCACAAAAAGACGATACGTCTTCTGAGAGATCAAAGCGGCGATGGCTCTGATGCATGACAGTTTGTCCATGTTGGAATTTAGTTTGTTCCACTCAATTTAGACCTAAAGTTATAGTCATTGCTGTTCATTATCCTGCAAGTTTCAAACTCAATGTTGTGTTTTCCAAGCAGCCATACAGACGGCAATGTTTGGTTTGTAGTGTCAGAGTTTGTTGGAAAGTGTTGGAAAATTGGATTCTAGTGGACAGCATTGGGCCGTTTTGTCCTATTTCATGGTTGGTGATCTGATGGCAGACCAATGAACAAAGGCCTTGTAGTAGGAAAAGCTAATTACAAAATATCACATTGTCTAGAATTTTTTCATTTTTTAATTTATTGTCTTTAATTTGTCACACGTCAGACAAATGACGAGACGTGTTGTAGCAGCTTCAACAAAATCGTAACCAAAGCCCGTTCTTTGTTTCAAGCAAATGTTCAGTTCAACCGTTCTGCCAAACAAATCAGGTTAACCTGTTAATCTGCTGTCCGCGTCTGCGTCCGAGGGGCTTTACTAACAATCAATATGATGAGTCCTCAACTGCACACGGACCAAATTCACAGCCTGTGCCATTAACCACACCACTCCAATCTGATGCCGCTGCATTTTCATCACCACCCCCGACACGTGATGGAGCACATAGCCTTTTATTTTTAAGATCTGTGAGGAATGTTTGACACTTTGACACGTTTTTCAACCTTGGACTTTGGACAAAGAGCATTGAAACATTACACTGAGCGGACGTACCAGTGGTTGCTTACATTAGCTGATTAGGTTTATGTTATAGGTGAACCGCAGACCCCAGGCAGATGGCTGACCTCTATATTAGTCTTTGCCTTGCTTTAATGCAGACTGGGGACTTGTTCCTCCAGTGTCCAGCAGGGAATCAGACAGACCACCTCAGGTTAATCTCACCACGACCTTAAAAGCCCATAAGGGATTAAACCTGGTCGCTGATTTTTTTTTTAACCACACAATGTCCCTTACATGCCGTGCCGTTTAAAAGTCACAAAGTGTATTTGAGAACGCTTCGTCCTGTAACAAGAGCTTACACACATGTCCATGGAATGAAATGAGACCTGATGGCAGATTTATCCCCAAAAAAAGGCACTTCTTGAAGCGCACTGAACATGAAGCTGGCAAAGCTTTATTTGTTGTGCGTGCTGCATGTCATGCGTGTGTTTTCTTTGTGTACACTGTATCCACAGCGCGCAGAACTTACGTGGGAACGTCAGTCACAGCCGCGCAAGAACATTTAGTTCTCTGAGCAGATCAAATTATAGGTTCACTGACATTTAGACCTGCTGGTTGAAATGATTCATAGTGATTCAGCCAAACGGGGCAGGGTCACCAAACACCAGAGATTCTTTTTATAGACGGTCGTTTGTAATTGCCTGAATTTACTCGAGCAGATAAGTAATGCACTTATAGAGTTAGGGATTTAAAAAGAAAGAATGAATTGAGGCAGAGATAACCAGCTTCTAAGTGGAAAAAAAACTGGATCTTCCACATATGCAAATGTTGAGTGTCTTTAAATAGAACCTCCCTGCCTGGTAAACACTCAGGTCTTTGTTGTTGTTCTTTTTTCAGACTTGACACAGAGCCATTTAACACATTATTAGACTACTTCCATGTGCGTTTTACATATATTTTTCCAGTAATCAATATTTTGGATTATCTGATTCAACATCCTTGTATTGCTTATATCTATCTTTAACATTTTCTTTCTCTCTTCGCAGTATGCTTTGTAAAGGTGCTACGTTAATTTTTAATGTTATCCACCTACTGAAAAAACAGAGACATGATGGACAACCATAATTCTAATTCACAAACGAACCCTATGGAAGCATCCATCCATCTGTCCAATCCGCACCAGATCAGCAACGTCAAAACCATCACTGTGTGGTGATTTAAAGGAAGGATACATCTCAAATCAAGGGGGTTTTAATGAACATGGAGAAATTGCCTTGTCAAACTATTATATGTTGTAAAACTGTTATGTTAAGGTAAAGCACAAGATGAATGTATTAGAAATAAATTAGACATGTATTAAACATGTTTGCTGATTTTGTTGAATTGTGATATTGGAATGAATTAACTTCAGAAACGATTTAACTTATAATAAACAATAAGGGGGTACTGGTGGCCTATTGTTCCTGTTTGCGCCTGTCACCCCTGCAGGCTTTAGCTCTGTCCGCCTTTGACCAGACATTACTCGGCCTTTTCTTTTTACAAGATCAGTTGAATTTATACGTTTTGATTTAGCCTGCATATCTGGGATTAACAAACTACTCAAACGGACTGTCAATACTTTCCAAATGGAAGGATTACGGAAGTTAAATCGACCACCATTGTCGTAAAGTCACCAAATCGCGCGCGCACTCCGCGAGGCCCGCGGTGCTATCCTGCCGTCGCGTGGCCTCGTCGGGTGCAGCACCGTCTCGCGGCCACATTACCCACGGAAAGTTCGCGATCTTTCACACATTTGTCCCTCGGTGGCACCCGTACACTGACGGTAAAGACAGACGTGTATCTTACTGGCACCTAAACGTCAAACAGGAAGCGTCCTACCGAACAACCTCACCGTTAACGCACCGCCGCTCGATCGCAACGACGATTTACTGATGAATTTAAAAGATGTCCGCCGAATTAACGTTGTACTTAGACAATCATCAGCAATATCCTGCGACGGATGACGAGACGGGCACCATGTCCATCGACCACGGAGGAGAGTGGGGTAAGCTCTGCCCAGGCAGACAACGGATGTACCGTTAGCTTAATAATATCCGGCTACTACTTTAGGACAAAGATATAATTATGGTGCCCTTTAAAATAAATATTTAGGGTGTCGACCCCGTAGCGCTACGTGTTCTTACTCGCTCTTCGAGTCGTAGCTGGAACCGTTAGCAGCAGCTAGCTGACGCAACATGCTGAGCAAGAGTGTAAATAAAACGAGCAACATGGCAACAACGTCCAGCACAGAGACACGTCGCTGCAAGGACCGCTTTCTGCTCTGCAAATATAAAAATAATAACATGGAATCCGATGTGAATTTTATTTTGAAGGCGGCGTTTTGTCTCCCACTTAAACTGGAGTGAGGGCTTTATTTTGACTTGTTTTGTTGTGTGCTTGTTGTCACTCAGATATCAGCCTGTTTGATGAACTGGACGACCTGGGAGATGCGGATGAGCTCTTCCAGGCCCTGCTGCACGCTGGCTGTGTGAGTAACTCATTCTCTCGGTATGCAAATGTCTATTATCGCCTGGAACTGGATGTGCTCGTTGACAATGGCTCAGAGTCGCAGATGCAGGTGCATCAGAGCATTTATTTACCGACACTTCACACAAGCACTGGGTTGGTGTTTGGCGTAATGTAGACAAGTTTTTATTGGGAATCTGCTTTCCTTACATGGCAGAAATGCAAGGCTCAGAAAACGGTAATAAAGTGATTATATGCCCATATACTTGGTTTCTCAGGCCAGTGGGGCTCCAGACCTGGACTTTGATATCGACATGCCGCAATGGAACGATGTGGACGCGAGCAGCACCTGCACAGGTACAGCGACACACGATGACATCTGTGTCATCTTCGCATTTAAGCGTGAAACCAGGCAAATAGGAACTGACTCTAAAAGTAGTCCCATGTGGATCCTTTTTGACATTTCTATGATGTAACCCAGGTGATGGACTGTTGCACAGGTTTATGCTGAGGTCATTTAATATAATTCTCAGGTACACTGTTTTTGTTGTTTTTCTAACTTTTTACCGAAGATTATTATTATTTATATACATGATACATCATTTTTGGAAGTCCCCTAACTCTCCGAATGTTTGTGATACTTCCTGGAAAATTACAAAAAATAGTTGATTACATTACTTATGTCATGGAAAGTTTTCAAATCTGCTTTATGATTTGCAGAGAAAACAGGTGTCGTTTATGCTTAATGAATAAAGCATAAAGAAAGGCTGTCCGTGTTGACTTTATGTCTGGGAATACACAAGGATAAGCGAATCACATCCATCTACCCTGATGCGTCTAAATATACATCGCCTTTGTCCTTGTGCGTCCAGATGGCGAGGTGAGCGTGGACTCTCTGTCACCTGCCTACACTCTGAGCTCTGTCCCCTCTCCTGCCTCATATGAAGCCCCGTCCCCCTACTTCTATAAGGTAAACCACTCTCTGCAACTCTCGGCCCTTCTCATATTTAAGCAGTTGACTTGTATTTCCAATGCAAATCTTTTGCTGCTCTGACTGGTTGGCGAGTATTTACATGGCTGCCCCGCCCGTTCCGCGGTTGGAACCAGTGAGCGCTTCATCCAGATGGCTCCCAAAGATGAACAGCTGCTATTTAGTTTCGAATACACACTTTAGACACGTTATTAACAAAAGCCTTAAACACCTTGTCAAGCTAATAACTCGCCGCCTGCCTGAGCCGCGCCCCGCCCCCTCGTTAGATAGAAGGTGCTGACAACTTTGGGCGCATTAGCATAATTTGGCGGGCAGATGTTTTCACAGTGTGTCAAAACAAGGACAAGGGTTACGTCTTTGTGTAGCCCCAACAGTGTGCACACATTTATCTGAATCCCCCAATCGGATCCAAGGACGCGTCTTTGAATGTTACCAAGGAGATTTGATTCATATTTCATCTGATGTGATAACAGTCGAATTCCGTCAGGCAGTTCTCTACTGAAATTTGCTGATAACTACGTTTGGATGACAAGAACAATTAATGCAGATCTTAAAATCCCGGATTTGTAAGTGTTAAGCAGCACGAGACCAAATGATAGAACCATTTGTACTGCTTTTGTTTACTGCTTATGTCTTAACAAATGTGTCAGTATCTGATCAAATTTTCTGCTTCCGCATCCAGGACGAGGCGCTGTCTCCACAATCGCAGCCGTCTCCTGTCTCCGTCTGCTCAGATTCCAGTGGGCTGTCGGTAGTCTCTCCCCCAGCTAAGAAGGCTCCAAAGAGGACCAACCAGAACGCCCGAGGTGAGGCAGCCTCACCCGCCGCACATCCGCTCGTTCAGCTATCCTCTATATTTGTACCCTTTGTCTAAAAAACACCTTCCGGGTTTGCATAAAAATAAAGAACGCCCCCCCCACTCCCTGTAATGCTAAACGATCATTTCCTACACGTAGCTGGGAGTCAGCATTTCCTCGTGGTGACATAAGTGCTCTTTTCTTATCTCACACCCCGCTCTGACGTAACAGCCAGACAAGCTCAGCCTGTCAAGAGGCCGATTCAGATTGGCCCGAAGGTTTCCATCCAGCCGAAACCGCTGATCACAGCGGTGCCCCTGGCTCATGCTGCGGCCCCCCTGCAGGCGAAGACCATCATTATCCAGCCCCTACAGACTGCTGTGCTGCCTGTGGTCAAACAGGCCCCAATCAACATCCAACCAGCGCCCCCACCAGGTGATAACTTGCACTGCATGCTGAGACTCACTCACGCCGTACTGCATTCGACCGTTGCACTGCATTTATTTGAATAGTGCGGTGTTCCTTACTTTAGAGGGTTTTAAAAAAATGTATAGATGGCATGTTATTGTTGTTGTTCGTCATTTCTGGTGAATTTGGTTCTTGCTCGGACAACAGTTGAATTATTCTGTCCTGTCCAGCAGATGGGGGTGTGAGCTTAGTTTGTTCTCCTCCTTCGTCCTCAGTGCCTCATGTTACTCTGCTTGATGTTTAAATAATTCTAAGTAAATGAGGCGATAAATGTTTTCTTCTTTTTTGTATCCAAAACTATGGTCAAATTTGTGTACATTGAGGGAAAAACAACAATGCTGGGAATCAGCCTTCAGAAATATATCATTGGGAAAGTTTGTTTTTCTAAACCACACGTAAACCAAATATTATTTATGGGTTACTGTTGGATTTTCTATGTTTTATGCATTAAAATCAGTTATTTTGTTCTGTGGTTTAGCCAATCTGGTTACATCAGCACCACCTAGGCCAATATAAATACTTATGTCATTGTCTGAGACCCAAGTGGGCGGAGTATCTGACTGCTCTTGACTTTAAATTTGAAATAGTCTCTGTGTCGGCTTGGTAACGGCCAAGACGGCAGACGGCTAAAGCCAAGACGTCCAAGTTTAGGACCCCAGATGGAAGTCAAGTCAAGCCTGCTCAGTGTCATGAGTTCCTCTGGTTTAAGATCTCCAGAATATTCACATCTGGGATCCCTGTGCATCAGGCATGATGGAACAAAGAGACAAGAGATACTTACTGATGACTTCACATTTTTTTTAATTGAGGTTGAGCGTTATTTCCGAAAAACAAACATGCCGGCCGGTGATCCCGAGGCTTTCAATGTCTTTTCCCTTTCCTCCTCTTCGATTCTGCCTTCAGATGGTCGAGCTCCGGCACAAGACACAGCGCTTGGCACCACACGCAGTCATTAGTAACACTTCTCCACAATTCGCTCTGGCAGGTTGTTTAGTAATAGAGGTGAAGGTTGAGGAATGGTTCCTTCCACAGCCTTACTGGGAGGGGTGGGCCTCATTTGTGGGAAGCGCCTGCATTAACAGGGTCTTTTATAAACATGCACAATATAGTGTTTAGTATTAGGGTTTGCCAGTGTCTTTATAGGTATGTACATACTAAAAAACATTATGATTATGGGCCAACGTAAAGGTTTCTTTTTTTGTCTATGCACATAAAACTCCCACACCTCCCATTTTGGGACCTGCAGCAGTGTTTTTTAACAGTAGTCGGATGGGGCTTCCCGATTGGATAGAATATCTGGTTGAATGTTATTGACAGTGCAAATTTAGGTTAAGAACATAAACACTGACATGGGAAAAAACTGGCAATCACAGTCTGTGTTTATCGACCTTAATAATACGGTAAAAAATATGATTACAGCTTGTAATGTAATGTAATAGCTACGACCTGTAATTTGAAAACCTGCATGTGTTTTGCACCCTTTCTCAGGCCGTCCCATAGTGCTGTCTCATCCCAGCCAGGTGCTGCACATCCAAGCACCACAGGCTGTCGCCGCCAACGTGGTCGCCATGCCGATGCTCAGCCAGGACCGGCCCGTCCCCGTCGCCGCTCCACCGGGGGTCTCCGTCACGCTGCGAGCCCCGTCCTCGGATGATGACGTGAGTCCCGTCTGCTAACTTGGTGAACTGCACCGGGGGACCAACACGCAGGGGTGTGCATGAGAAAGCGCACAGAGCAGTGCTGCAAAAGAAATGGCGAATGTCCTCTTGCGTGTCCGTAGTCGTGCAAGAACTGCGCTTTGCCACATTTGCATCGTAAAACCTGCCATTTGCAAACTATTACTTGTGTCTTCACGTAGGTGCTGTCCTTCACACATGACTGTAAAACACTGTTTTGATTAAGGGTCTGGAAATGTTTCCAGGCCACTCCGTTGGCCTCCCTGGGTTACGCCCAACGTCGGTCCAGAGGCGACGCCACCTGTTTTTCTCGGGCGGAGTTACACAAAGTGGTTAATTCACTTAGAAATCAACGCGGGTGAAGTGGTGTAATGTTGCCAAACCCAATAGGTCCATAGTGCTGACACCCGAATCCTGGACACCCATGTCGACCATTTAAGGGATGTTCAATCGTTTTACTCTCATGGGGCACGGTTTTCTGCTCTCAAGCTTTTCCGAAGGTCACTAAGAATGTGTCCGAGTCATTTATACGAGGTAACTTCTTCACGGGGCTCACTCGTACCTCCGGGAGTTGTGTTTGTGTTTGCATGGTCGTGGTCGTGGGAGGACTTGCCCGAGTGCGCCTGCGTGCAGCTGCATGCCGATGAGCAGCAAGCAGCACAGGCGTGCTTGCCCTCCCCCCCTCCCACGAGTTACTCATGATGCTGTGGTTACCATGTTCCCACTGGAATCTGTCCAACATCTTACCCGACTTCTAGCGTTAGATTTAATTTCACATGTCATTAACTTTAATAGTGGTGTGAAATATGAAAAAAATTGTGAAGGGTTACGTCAACCCACTGGCCTCCAGACTCTACAAACGTGCACGGATGATCACCATCGATCTCTGTGGGGTTTCGTTGGAGAGATGAATGTTATTGTGTTTGCAGTTTATTGAGCCTGAATGGTGTCAAAAAGCGACAATAGGCTTCCCTCCGTGTGGACGATGTCATTGCAGGACAGCTTCAGCGAACAGGAGAACGTGCAAAGTAAAAAAGTAAACACAGCCTCCATTCCCACTCTATGTGTAATAACGACACCCAGATATTCAAAAGTTAATGGTGCGTTTTGTTTTGTGGTCTCTCAATGTGCATGCTGGGATTACTTTGAGTAGGAGAGTTATTCTTTTAAAGACTTGGGTGTGAGTTTGTAGGCCCTGTGGTTTCTGATTATTTTCTTTTTTGTCGCTCGATCAAACTGCAAATGCATCTTTCTGCCACACCGGATCGTCAGAGGAACTTCAGTGACCGTTCCTAATGGCTGGCTGATGTCTGACCTTTAACCACTTGAAAAACACCGTCTTTTTTATTTTGTTTCCCCCTGTCAGAAAATCTGTTCCATCCACCATTTACATTTCACCTTCTCCGACGGCATCGAGGTTCATGCGTGAGGAACCACGTGTGCCACGTTTGGAGAGCGATTCCAACTGTAAATCATTTGCAGGGATCTCTGAAGCAACACTGAGGCCACCACAGAAAATGGATCCAATTATCAGCTGCTATCCTCTCACAGGGAGAGTCATTGTGTGGTACTGATGCCCGTTAGTCGTTTTATTTCTTTTTTCATCAGACTTCTTTACTGATTAACTTCAACCGATGTTTTTGCGTTGTGTTTTATGTTGTATGAATGGTGACCGTCCAACCTCAGAGGCCAAAACAAATACGCCTCTCAGCCATTTGTTAAGCAAAACAAGTCAATAAAGTTTACAATAGGTGATTGGAGGGACTAAACGTTAAGCGGCAGGGGAAAGTAAGGCCGAGTGGTGAAAGATATTTGAATGGAGGAAAAATGTGGCATTCTTATTTCTGTTTTGAAGGCCGAGGGCACTCAAAGTCAGCAGCTCAACAACGTCCTCCAACTAGTGACGCTGGAGCAGCAAATCCCTTTAGTGTGTTTAAGGGAGTCAGAGTTTGTTTTTAGCTTTTAGCATTTGAATGTGGAGGAAAAAATTCTGCTTTTCACATTTTAAGAATGTGTTATTTCACCTTTCTAAAGGTACACAGCGGTAGTCTCTCTGTTAAGGGACTTAGAAGTTGTTTCTGGGCCCCAACGAGAATCCTTTTGGTGTGTGTGTGTGTGTGTGTGCTGGTGTTTGGACACGCTGCAGCTGTGTTCCCTTTATAACCTGTGTGTGTGTGTTTTTTTTTTTTACCACGACACGGTGGAAAACGCCTGTGAAAGATGACATGCTAGTGCCAGGTGTTACTACGTGTTGTGTATATACAGTTTGTACACATCACTGTTGCATACAGCACTGTACTTTTGGGCTATAGTTGGCATATATAACCCCCCCCTCCCTCCCCCCTAACAATTACATGCTCCAGACAGGTGTTGTGCAGCTTTGCGACAGCTGTAAGCAGCCATCGGGGATTGGGTCTCTGTAATGTAATGAGCTCCTATCCTGCAAGGGATTCAACTGCATGTGGGGAGGTCTCAGTTCTGTGTGTGTGTGTGTGTGTGTGTGTGTGTGTGACACACACTGAACAAACCGTCCAGCGTGGAATTGAAGGCTTTTTCTAATCCTTTCATAAGCGCAATGGAATGGAGTTTCTCAAACACAAGAAAATAATGCTTTTACATCGTTCACTTCATCAAGTGAGTTTGACAGAATTCCAGACGCTGCGATAAGGAAGCTTGACTATAAGAATAAGATATTTTGTCTCATTATTCAACACTCACACAGGGAGCAATAGCAGTTTAACAACAAGGCCTTTAATTAACAGTACTTGTCCCTCAGCTTTGGGTCCATGGACTTTTCGCTCATGCTGTGATTGCAATGTGCACAAGCTGCTTGTGTGTAATAGCATACAGAGAAATAAATGTATGTGTTTTATCTTTTGCATGTATTGTTAATTAGGTGCATGTGCACGGGTTGTCATTTACTCTGTTTCTGCAGCTGTAATGTAACTAAAGGAAGCACGAATTCTGCGTTTTGTTACACACCTTTTTTAAAAGATCGGTTTCTCCACTAACAGGTGCATAAATACCTCAAGACGTCAGTCAGGGTCTGCCCCTACACCCCCCTCCCGTGGAGTAACCCTTCGGACGGTGAATGAAACGAGTTGACGCTGGACTGCAGAGTGACAGTTGGGGCGCTGGGATCCTGTCGACTCCTGTTCCCTTTCTCTTCACCTGCGTTCAGTCGGTGTTTTTTTGAGCTGGCTTTCTCCCCGCGGCATGCTGCTGGCTGCTCTGCTGGGGGAAAAGTGCCCTGCTCAAGGGCACCTCGCCCTGTTGACTTTTTTTTCCCCCACGGACTTTGTAGTTCTAAAAAGGTTGAGAGCGCAGACCCTCGTTCATACTCTCATAGGGCTTTATTGAGATATGCCGCGCATTTTACTCCTCGGCCTGATTCCGGTGGCGTTGTGCAGCGCCCCCGCCCCCTCCCCCCCCCACACTCTTGCCTGCACTCCCTGGTAACCGCTTGCTTGCAGCGTTCCCAGGCTCGCGCTAGTGGCACGGCTCCCAGATTTGGGCTGGGAGACAGAGGGGTTTCTCAGGAGACGGAGCACAAATACAGGGATCTGAATAACTTAATCACCAGCGGGGCTATTAGGCCCGGCATCTTACAGCCTTCCTCTAGGGAGGCCGAGCGATTGGAGAAGGGCCGTAGGGGGGTAGCTGGGCCCTGGGCGGTCAGTGGAGGTGTCAAGGGTCACACCACAGCCGTGGGTCGTGTTAATGTGACGCAGGTCGTGTTACCATTTCCAGCCAATCAGGTCGGATTTCAGTCATTACCTCGGGTACCTTGATGGGAATCAATGCAATTAAACCTGTCCAATTAAACAAATACATTGCCTCCGTTTCTGTGAGATGTGAGCCTGTTTCTTAAAGAGATGCATTTCTCTTCACAAATAGAACAGAGGCCTCTCGGAGGATTTGGGTGTAAATATGTTCAAGCGAAAGCTTGATCGAGTGCACTTAAGGGCTGTTTCGGGAGGTTTTAAAGCCGTGATTTGCGACAGAGGCGCGTCAACATCCACTAAGACACATCTTGAACATGTCTGTACGATTCTGTCAGCGTGTAAACTGGACCGTCAGCAGCCGAGCAGCAGCTCGCTTTCTGAGCATAACAAAGTCAACCCCGGCTTTCATGTTGGCTTCCTCTGCCCCTCTTCCAATCTGTTTCTACTGATCTGTTTTATCTTTTTACTGGCTCCTCGGTCACGCCTTTTTTTTTTACTTTTAGCTTCTTCCACTTTGATTCGATGTTGTGCACCACGTACTTTTTCCTCCTCACTATTAATGGGCGCAACCTTTTTTGCAAAATATGTTTCCGAGCATCATTTGTTGCATTAATAAATGTGTGTATTTCTGGTTCTGGAAGGGTGGGTCTGGCGTGGATGCATCCACAATGCCGATAACTTGATATGAGTGAAAACCCGTTTAAAATGTGTGTTGCTGTTTCCGTCCCGCTTCAGTCGAAGGTGTCCCAGAGGCAGCAGCGCATGATAAAGAACCGCGAGTCGGCATCCCAGTCCCGGAAAAAGAAGAAGGACTACCTGCTCTCGCTGGAGGCCCGACTGAATATGGCCTTGTCCGAGAACGAGTCGCTCAAGAGTGAGAACGGCCAGCTGAGGAAGCAGCTGGAGGGCATGCTGAGCGAGGTGAGAGGCTCACGGCCCGGACGATGCCTCCTGTGCAAAATAACCAAAGTCTTGTGACAATCGCACACATCTATGCAACGTCTGATAATGCAACACGGCGCCTAACTTCTCCTGCAGAACACAATGCTGAAGGTCACCGCCCCCAAGAGGAGAGCCGTGTGTCTCATGGTGGTGGTGATGTTCGTCATGATCAACGTTGGACCAATGAGGTGAGCCCACGATGCAGAAAAGGCTCAGATTCCGTCGAAAACCAAAGGCTGCGGCTCACGATGCAATGAGATTAACAGTAACTGCAACGAAATGTAGACGCCCAAGGGTTCTGTTAACGGAGGAAAACAAATGAGAATCATTGCGTTGATCACGACTCTTTTTAGACACAACAGAGCAGAACATTTCCCACACAAGAGGTATGCTCACACAGTCCCACATCCCAAAATGATTAAGCGATCATCACAGTTTGGATAAGACTTGTTATTGTTCGTTTTAAAAAAAAAACGTTCTCAGTGCTTGTACACTTGCGCTGCGGTATCAAAAGTCCCCACTAAAGCACGTAAACATGCTTAGTAGGAATCTCAAATACAAGCATGAACTTTAAAAAACAGCACGAAATGCCACCTTTTAAATATCCACCTCGTGGTGTAATCCAGGAATGCACGCTCACGCTGACCCGCCTGCTCTCCAGAGAAACCGTTAACTGCTAAAGAAAAGACGTTGACTAATAGTGTGCTCATGCCAAATGGCTCGCTCGCTCACACGCGCGCGTGTGCGTGTATGAAATATCCTCCGTTCCTCTATTGTCATTGCCAGAGTTTTAGGACTTTGTGACTAATGGTTGAATCAGCCGGCTTTTGTTGCGAGCAAAGTAAACAGTTACCACTTACAGATGTAAATACAAAACTTTCAGGCAAAAGAAGACCTGGAAAGTATTTGTTTACGGCCGTATTTCTCGTGGTGTTACCAGTCGTGACAAATTCAGATGAGTTATGTAAAACCACACCGGGCAAAAAGAGTTTGTTCCACCCAGCTATCAGATGGAGGGATTGCGTAATCCCACAAACTCAACCCAAATCCACCTCTGACCGCGGCGATGACTTCTCTGTTTTCATGCACCGTGAAAATGTTTGTTTTCTCCCGGGATTGACTTCTTCCACAGAGACGCAAGGATCTACTTGGTGGAGCGGCTTGCTTTGATAATCTTCCTGCTCTCTGTGCTGGGAATGTGTCCTTTTAGTTCTTCTCCAGCGCTTCAACATGAACAAGTTTTTGTGGAGTAGTGAATGAGTTTGCTTTCCCGACTTGAGAGGTACTCAAGTAGCTGCGTGTGTGTGTGTGTCTCTGTACCTGTGCTCTCCTGCGGAATGTGAAATATGCCCGCTTTTGAGGTCGGATCCCTTTGAAATAAGATTGCCACCCAGAGGAGTAATGCTGTTGAGTGTGTATTTTCGCCTGTGTGCGCCCCAGCGTGCTTTGGGTTGTGCAGTCTAGATCAAAGTTCAGATTCGGCTTGTGGTTGAAAAACCCTCCTGTGCGCAGGAGGTGGGCCACGTGGAATTTGGCTTTTATTTCAGTCCTCTGTACTCCGTCCCGGTGCGTTTTCCTCCAGCCGTCCCGATCCGTCCTCACCTGTCTCTTCTCCTCACCTCGCCTGTCCTCTGCCTCTCCAGTCTGTTCCAGGGCGGCCCGGCCTCCAAGCTGGGAGGCGTCTCCGTGCCGCAGGGCGGCCGACACCTGTTGGGTTTCTCCCCGGAGACAGAAAGTGAGGTCGCGATGGGCCCCGATCGCCTCCGCGGGGGCCCCTCTGACATGGCTGACAGGTAATGAGCTCAACCCGGCCCGCCGACACCTTCTTTCGCAAAAGCGTGCTGGCGTGCACAGCAGACCCGGACGCACCTGCGCCTGGGGCCCGGTCCGAGCCGGCACAGCTCATTAAAGCACGCGTAAACACGCGCGGCGGGCCGACTCCGTCCAAACGCCGGCAGGCCCCGGGCTGGTTAGCCAACGGTTAAAGGTGGGAAATGTAAGGCCCTGTCTTGTTTGACATCCAGCCCCATATCGCCAGTCCCAGGTTATTTTTTTTAAAGGGTTGTATATTTTTCTTTTCTTGTTTTAAATGCGACTGAGGCCCAGCAGTCTCATTTGTAAATTGCACAAACAACATTCTTGTTTGGTGCATTACCTGCACTCCCCCCTCCCCTCTCCGTGCCCCGAGACGTTATGCAAGGTGGTCGGAGCCTAACGTCGCCCGCCTTCCATGTTACATGTTAATGCGAACCATTCCGCCGTAGCCTCGGGTTTCCCTGGGAGCATTAAACCAGCGCCGGCAGGAAGGAACACATTAGCCTTTACAAAAGGGTTGACAGCACCAACCGCACCGGGGGGGGGGGCATGCAACCTAACCTCGGGGTCCCACTGAACAGGAAGCTGTGTGTGTGTGTGTGTTTGTCCGGGAAGGTTAATAGGTGGTCTCGTCGAACCCTTTCCGGAGCTGTTAGAGTCTGCAGACGTTTTGGTAACAAGCCCCCCCACCCTCCCTTCCTGCAGGTGGGATCTGACTGTGGACATTCAATGTATTGAATCTCACTGTTATAGCCCGAGTCGGTCGTCTGTCGCGTGTCTCTGAGCGTCTCCCTGAACAGCATCCAGACGAATCATTTCAGAATCCACTCCTCCTTTCTCGGCGTTTTTGTTCACACGGTCAGCGGCCGAACGTCTACTTTCTCCACACATACCAGAACAAACGGTCAATGGAGCTCATTAGTAGTCAATCGATTTAAATTGAAAAGGAATATTATTGTGCCCACGTTGAAGCCAAGCCAGTGTATTTCGTATAGTCTTCCTGCTCCACTCAGGCTGCTTCACCTCCGTCAGAGGGCCAGCGGCCATGTTGGCTCTCGGTTTGCATTCAAAGCATATTCTCCACATGCGGCAATATGTTTTCGCGCCAATCCTGTTTTTGGAATTTGACATTGGCGTGAGAGCATATAAACGTTTTCTCAAATATCTTGGTTTCACAGCCGTTTTTTCTTTTTCTTGCAGCTCCGAGGACAAGTCCCTGATGGTGCTGAAGGACCCCCTCTTCCTCAGACCACCCCCCCCCTGCCAGCCTCCCGTCAACAGGACAAAGTGCTTGGAGTAAGTTATTAACTCTTTCACACTCGTTACTTCTCACCTTTCAACGTAAGACCACAAAAATGCCTGAATTTAATTTCAAATGTGTAAGACTAACGCACTTTGATTGACAGGCTGGCCCATGAGTTGAGGGGCTGGGTCCACCGTCATGAAGTGCACCAGACCAAATCCAGGCGCATGAGTAACGGCAGTCACAAACCCACGAGGACCATCCTGGTAAGTCGCGTCGCATCTAATGATGTCCAGCGTTTGCTTACAAACTCGAGCCCACTTGTAATTTAGGCCATAAAAGGTTTTTTTCCCTTCCAGCATTGTTTTACCTCCTCGTTCACCTTCCCTTTTGGGCCGAGTTTAATCCGGCGGCCCTGAGAAAGTAAACAGAGCACTTATAGCCGAGCTGTGGGATTAGTGCCCCCCTGCGCTTTTTTTTTTTTCCATCATTTTTTAAAGAATCGGTCACGGTTGGTTCTAATCCATTAGGAGCTGCCTGGCTCATATATACCCATTCTTCCTTTAACTTTAAATAGAAATCCAGACATGTTTATTTCACTGCATTAAAGACTTCTAGATGGTCGGTTGTGACAGAGTCTGTGTTTGCTAACAGTTTATCGTGCTGTATCTAAAGGGTAGTCGACTGGCTGAAGAGTTTGAGGCTCATTCTTCTGTGTTTTTTCTTTCCTAACAGAAAGCGGAGAAAGGGGAGAGTGCCCAGATTGTGACGGTCCAATACACAGAAACTGCCGAGGAAAAGTAAGTGAAAGGCCTGCAAGTGTAATTGGGTTGGAAGGAAAACACCTTTTCAGGGCTACATCAAGCATTTTGAGTGCACAGCATGCTGTAGATGTACACCAACTACTGCCTGTGTAAAACATTGTTTATTGTCGGCGGGATACTCGTAAACAGGTTGTCCAAACCAGCAGTAGACGTAACAAACTGGTAGGTCTCTGTAATTGACCAAAATGGCTCCTTCAACAGCACTGCAATGACAAATATCACATCAGCCTCTAGTTCCACAGTTGCGGGCTTTTCAGTTTTTTTTACAGTTGGTCCGATTTACGCAGTAGTGACCAAGCATAGTCGACTTCTGCAGGGCCACCTGTTGGCCAGATAGAGAATGGGGGGAAAAAACACTAGAAAGATTCCCAATTTGAGCGTGACACGTTGTTCCTGATGTTCCTCATATGGCTCATTGTAGCAGAAGGATCGTTGGTCGCTCCCCACAGTCTGCAGCAGCTTTATCTATCCGTTTTTTCCATTTTGTACTGTTAAAAAAAAAAAGTAAAACAAGAAAAAGCAGCAAAATTTTATATTTTTTTAATCTGGAGCAAAGAAGGATTTTGGAATTTGCCAAAAAAACTGCCAAACATTTTCCTGGCATGGAACATTGATCATCAGCATTTGATTAGTGGTATACGTGTCTGTTTCTCCTCGTTTCTGCACATTTTTCCAGTGTTGCTCAAATGTTTCTGTGGTGCTCCGTCAACAGGAATCCTGGGAGTGAGCTCCAGGTATACTACGCACCCCATCACACCTACAGTGACTTCTTTGACGAGATCAATCGCCGCGGCGACACGTTCTACGTAGTGTCTTTCCGCAGGGTAAGTTTCACCTTTCACTGTTTGGTCTGACATGAATCCGAGAGGAGAAAAGGGAGTTGGCTTCAAACTCTGACGCCGTGGTTACAGTAAAACTAGAAGAGATTTCAATGGACCTTTTTAAAGATAAACACCAATCAACCTTTTGACCTTTTACGAATGTGTGTCCCAACCCGGTCATGAAAAGTAAGAAGTGGATTATAGGCTGAGTAACGTAAATCATAAATCATGTGACCCTTGGACGCCCAAGGGTGTAACAACCACTTTCCTCGGCCCATTTACAATCATCAAGACCGTGCTGTAGATTTTTTTGCCGTGGCCATATGTCACCGTTAATCCTCTTGGTCTTTATTCTTTTGACCATTTTTCCACATTTCAGACCTGCTTTTAATTTTAAAAATTAAAAAAAAACAACAATGAATTATTTTATTTGTTCGGGTTCGTCTCTTTCTCCTTATTCAAGATGACAACATTTTGCTGAAAGGGAAATCTTTTTCTTTTTTGAGTTGATTTATAGTTTAGACGCATTTACTAAATCTAAAAACGACTCCAACTCCAATGAGCTCATGTCACACTCGGCACCTCTTCTCGATGTTAAGCCCTTAAATCCTGAAGCAAGTGGTCAAAGACCGAGCCCCCTCGTCACCGAGCAAGTCACATGGGTTCGGCCCTCCGTTGTTATGGTGACAGCCGGCACAATGGCAGCAATGGTGTCCCCGGGTCGAGGGCCTCAGCGGGTCAAGTGGCTGTCGGTCAGGTTCTAGCAGCTCTGTATTGCACGAGCGGTTAAATAGAGGCTGTTATTTCTTCACGATGGAGACACTTGTAGCACCGAGTGTGATTCATCCATTATAACAAAGATCATAGTTTAGGGGCCTGCTCACATAACCTTTATTTTATTCTCACAGACACGTATTTGCTTTCCGCAGTCCGATTATTGGCCTGCATTTGGTCTCCTGAGTTCTAGTGAGTGCGCCTTGGCAAAAACGGTTGTGCTCTCTGTTTTATTTTCATGTTCCAGTAGGTATGATGTTATTACAAGATTGCCAAAGCTCTGGATCAAATTTGTGATTGTTGTTTGGATTTTAAAGCCCATTCTGGCTTTGGTCCCGCGGGGGGGGGCTCGTCGGGTTCCTCGTGGCGTGCTCATGCCTGCGCCTGATGTCACTGCTCAGAGATGACCGGTCTCAGTGCAGGACTGTTGTAGATTCGTTACCAGCGCCTGTGGCTTTGTTTGAGTGAGATGATGATGATGGAAAACATAACTCCTAGCGAGACCAGAACATGGAACTGCTCTCACTTGCTTCCCCCCTGGTGTTGTTTCAGCAGCTGTGGCTTTGTGGTTGTGTGTGTGTGTGTGTGGTGAGGTGGTGGAAAAACACTGGCTGCTTTCACCGCGGACCGCGTCTCGTAGGGTTCAGGCGAAATTCACCTGTTGTCATGGCAGCTGCAGCTGTCGTGTCTGCTTGACAAGCCGATGATGAGCAGTAATGTGGTTCGTTTTTAGTGTTGATCACCTCCATTCGGTGGCTTACAGTTGATCCTTTATTCCTTGGGGTACCGAGATCGCGTATCGCACAAACCCTTCATACCGAAACACTGCCAGTGGCGCCGCACGAGACAACTTCTCGAGCTGAGTGTAGCACCGTAGTGTCACTTATACTAAGCTCACATCAGGCATATTTAGTCTTTTTAACAGTTTAGTTTGTTGAGGGATTCCGATCATGTTGGATTTTATTGACCAGCATGTCATTAATCACTGCACTGATTAAATGACTCGAGTCATGGCTTTTAAATAGTCGACCTACATCTGAACGCCGCCGACTGATTTGAATTGTTTAAATTGCTCGCTGTGAAGAATTTTGTGAGCAGAAAAGCCTTAATGGAAATTGTTTCCTTTTTATATGAGGACTGTTGAACCTCCCAGGTGACCGTTGATCATTGATAACCAATTCAACAACTGTAGCTGGACGTTATTTATTTTAAATGTTGTGTTTTTCCTCCTCTTTTGTTCTCAGGATCATCTTCTACTTCCTGCCACCAGCCACAACAAAGGAAGTCGACCCAAGATGTCCTTGGTGTTGCCAGCCATGAATATAAACGGTACGCAGCGCAGACACACCGTTTGGGGGGTTTGGGGGGTTTGGGCACTGCACACGGTGTAGCCAGGAACACGTCTCCATACAGGAATGCATTACTTGTTCTGTATGACACTTGACACTGCTCTTACCAAGATGGAGCTCAATGGGCTTTTTAAGTGAGCATATTCGGGGGGATTCCGATCCCCTTTTTCATCCATGCTGGTGTTTTTTTTCCAAAAATCTACTTTCTTGGAGCTGGAGTGTGTTGCCAGTTTTAACTGAAATCAAAGTTTCTTTGTAGATTTTCCTTTGACTTGTGGCGTGTTATTGGTTTAAGCTCTTTTTGCTCCCCAACCTCCCTCTGAGCCCTTTGTGGTTTCTGTTACGTGCTTAAGCTTTTGATTACGCTTTCTGTTGCATTTAGAAATGCTGTCAAGTGTCCGTTCCCCACAAGAAGACACAAACATTAAAAAAAACTAAACTAAAAACTTTTTAGTGAAGTTCAAATATTTACTTTTCATTCTGGCTTAATATCCGTCACCAATACAACTGTAATTGTTTCACTGACAAACACAAGTTATCATTTTTCTGGTTCCGATCCAAAGGGCCATCGACAAGAAAAGACACCAGGGACACCACATCTGACTCTTACAGTCCTGATACCTCATGCTGGGCTTCGGGTATCAGCAGACATCAAGTACTGACCCGATTCAATAGGCTGTATGCATCAGTATGTGGAGTTAACTTGGATCATTCTTTTTTTGCTTTCTTGTAAAGCAACATCAACCTTGAAACACTGCGAGGCAACAAATTAACAAGTCAATATAAATTAACTGCATTGTTATTAATAATTGTACACCGGTAGCTTGGTGAAAAAAAGATTATAAAAAAAACAAACAGGAATTGGACCTTTTTGGACCGGAATTGGATGCACATTTTTCAAAACCTGAATTATAATCCCTATATAAAATGTGTAATATATAAACATTGAATTGAAGAGACCGGCCCTATTGTCCTTCCAGCGCCTCATTAGTTTGCTGTCATGTCGTCGCGTGCGGGGGGGGGTTACCAATCCCCCGCTTATTTGACCGCCGGCCCTCCGGAACAAAACCCCTTGTAAACACTTTAACAATGGTGTGCTGGAGGTACGCCTCAGTAACCCAACACCAAATCAACAGAAACATTGGACTTGGATTGGCGCCTTTTCTCTCTCTCTTTTTTTTTTTTAATGAACTGCTAAAATATACAGACGTTTCTGATTTCCATGAGCTCATGATGACTTTTTCTCCACGGTCCTTAGACCCGTGGGGTCGTCATAGATTTCAGCGGAAAGTCTTCTTCTTTGTCCAAACGCTGCAGTCAGTTGTCCGGCGGCTCGATGTTCACCGCGCCTGCGGGACGGAAAGGAAAAGCCGCGCGAGAGGGACAGAGTTTATGTCCGGTGTGAGCAATTAGGACGTCAGGCCGTTGTTGTTTCTGGGGGCTCGCCCGGCGTTCTTATCAGATATCGTCTTCTGATTCCTCCTCGTCTCGTCTGTGGCAAAGCACCAGCAGCTGATTGGATGATTCAACCGAGTCCATGGAACATGAGGCTCTTACTCCGCAGGGAAAGTCCTCTGTTTTTTGTTCCTAGTAAGGGGACTTTAGAGATGAAGATTGATGGAGGTAAACATCGTTCCTGGTCGGTCTTGTCAGGGAGGAATGTTACGGTTCGCGCTGGTCACATGGGCCAACATGAAACAGCAGTAAATAGTGAAATCCAAGACGGCTAATTGTTGAAACGGCCCAAACAAAGGTGGCATTCAGGTAAAAGATATCAAGTCTGGACGGATTCTTGGCCAGCTCAAGGAAAAAGGCCCTTGGGCTTGCGTGACATGTCAGGGAGGGCTGCAGGTGGCCGCAACATACATTGAGGACCAAAAGTCTTTTCCTGCTCCTCCTGGTAGCTCCTCCTGGTAGCTCCTCCTGGTTGCTCCTCCTGGTAGCTCCTCCGCGGTGCGACAAAGAGGCCTGTAGGACTTTAGTTTTAAGTGAAAGCCGTCTCATTGGCTGAAGCAGACATGGTGGAAACCAGCGCTCAGAGCCCCCCCGTCCCCTCCCATACGTGGCACATCGATGACTTGACCTTTGAGGCCCGTTTCGTATTCATGCTGTCTTTGAGAACTCTGAGGCGATGTGCAAATGGACACGCGTAGCCGGGCGGACACCGTCCTCTCCCTGGAGCCGGATTGCTCCACAGCGGAGGGTAATTCTTTCCAGCTCCCTGTAGCTGCTCTCCTTCAGGAATGCCTTCCTCCTCCAGCCGCTAAATGGTTTTCATCTGGTGGAGGCGGAAGGACTCGGTTGATCTGGAGCGAGCGTTTCTCTTTTTCCTCCCCGACGCGGTCAGTGAGCGGACGCGGAGGACAGAGACTTTGAAGTGAGCCGTCGCTGCTCTCCGTCCACGGCTCATGTCGAAAGCAACTTGCCCTTGACCGTCCTTGGTTCCCACTAGGGACGGATCCAACTGAGCCAACTTAACCCCCCCCCCCCTCAGAAAGTAGCTCAACCAAGTGGAGGTGACTTGTTTGGAGGAGAGGAATGTGTCGGAGGTGACATCATCTACAGGTGGACGCACCGCCGTCTTATTTTCCTTCTGTGAGGTTGTGGACGTGCACTGTAGCTAACGGGCAGCTTCAAGGTGGAGGTCTGAAGAAGATGGGGGGGGTCACATTTTCCTACTCCTCTAATCCAAACAAACATCCAGTGGTCTGAAAAGCAGAGCACACTTAGCAACCCAAATGTTTAACCCTTGCAAAACCACTCTTGTGCAAGTTATTCTTTTGCTTCAATGACCCCCCCCCCTCCTCAACTGCCCACCCGGGATTCACGCTCAGGTTTCCTCGGCTGCATCGTGGCCAGACGGCAGGGTTTTATCAGCGCACAACAGCTCACTGTCCCGCTGAAGCCTTCTGGAACATCTCCAAAGGGCCCCAGTAGAGGAGGAGGGGGGAGGGCAGGCGGTGGGGGGAGCAGGAGGGCAGATTTGGCAGCTTCTTCAGAGAGCGGCTGTTTGAGGCAGTGCCTCGTGGCCGCGGGTTTGTGTGTTTCCTCTTTCACTGTTCACGTGTCAGTCGGCCGAATAGAATCCAGACACTCGTGTAATTTGGTGAAAGGTGGATGTTTACGGTGTGGAGGATTAAATGTGACTCCTGAATTTGGAGACTCATCTTTTGACACATCATCACACAAAGTGGCCCGTGCGCACATACAGACACAGACCAACATCAGCGTTCCTTTGAAGAACACCAGATTTTGCAGGATTTCCATTCTATTTGTCCTCCTCGTGTGTTCGGCTTGCATCTAGATTGAGTGTGCCACCTTTTCACTTTATTTTGGGATTTATATGAGCGAAGGGATGAGAATGTGGGAGCTTTTTAGTGTGAACTGCCTGTGCTTCAATAAAACAACCGTAAACCATTAGGAGGTTGGGGGGGGGGGGGTGGTCTGTTGTGAGCTCATTAAGCTACATGGAGATGCACAAAGAATAAGATGAAGTCACATCGAGTATTGCGTCCACAAGCTATTTGATGATATGAAGGTCTGTGCAGTCTTTTGTATGGTCAGTGTAGGATCTCATAACCCTCCTCACATACTCGTCATTGGAAATCCTGCCGGAAGGCAGAGGAAGCTGATGTCTTGCACAGGTGTTCGGAAAATGATTTGAAACCAGTCGCAGCGGCGCTCTCGGGGATTTTAAAGACGGCTCCATTTCTGAGTCGTAGAAGAGTGCGGTGTGTTTGTCGTGCGCGCTCCATATGGGGAATGTTGCTATTATCTTGTCTCTCACATACAAAAGAAACGCGCTTTTTGAGAAGTCCACAGGAGATCCCCTCACGCTCATTTTGATAATATATTTTTATAGCAGAGAATCTGACAAAAAGAGAGGATGTTCTTAGCCCAATTTCCCATAGGCCGTGAACCAAAGCCTAGCATCTATTGAATCTCCACACATGAGAATGATTTTGTGAAAATGTGTTTGTGTTTGATTACAAGCTTTGTGTTTTTTTTCCAAACACAATAGCCTGACTCATCAATATCCACAGTTCTTTTCTCTTTGTGAGAAAACAAGTCTGAAGGATTCAGTAATCACTTTCCTTCCCACACTAGTTCTAGAGTTCCCCCAGAAATGTGCATGTCCTGCCCTTGTTAAGGGCTGCTTTGTTTATCTCTACGACTGCATGGGCCAGAATATGACTCACCCCTGGAGTCCATATGTGACCCCCCCACCCCCCCAACGGCCTGAAAACAAAACTCCTTTACACTCCCAAATACGCTCTTATCACCTCTTTCAGCCCCCGTGTGACAGTAAACCGGCCTGTGATTGTGACACATGCAGTCATACGAGCTCTATTTGTGTGTCTGATTAAATCCTTTGCCGTGACATGAATCCGTCGCAGAGGGATGAAATGTTCAGTGTAAGTGAATGAGCTGATGACTAAACCCTCCGCTTCCTCTCCTGCCGTCACAGACAGCATCATCAGGGACAAAGACTACGAGGTGATGATGCAGATCGACTGCGAAGTAACGGACACCCGGATCATCCACATCAGGTCCTCCACCATCCCACCGTTGCTGCGGGTCAACCGCACGCAGACGGTCTACCGGCACGCCTCGACCGAGAGCCAGGCCCCGCCCCCTGTCGGCGTGCTGATGGGGTCCGCTTGATTGGCTCGACGCCGCCTGTTATAATGTATATCTCCTTAACTAAATCCACAGTGACAAACAGAAGATAAGACCTCAGTGCACACTTTTTTTTTTTTTAGGCACGTGTGAAGTATATTTCAAATCGGGTGAATTCCCTCTTGCTCAATTTTATATTTGAGTAACAATCTCAAAGCGGCAGCTCCAGTCAGCTGCGTTCTTTATTAGGGCCGATGTCCGGAGGTAGTCTGTAAAAGGGTCCCTGCAGACGGTTGCTCCTTGTGTGGCAACACTGACTTCTCCACACAACCCCAGATGCCCCACATAAGGGTAATTGCTTAACGCCGGGGGGGGCTGAGCATTGAACCCTGAGTCACCCCGTCATAACACAAATACTTTCGCCCCCTAGTAGCTCTCAAGTCTGCTCTTTCTTTTTTTGAAAGAAAATGTTGTGTCGGGGCAACAGGACTGAGCGTTGTAATGGTCTCTCTTACTCATTTGAAGTCTGTTGGCATCTCTGAATGAAAATAATTGCGAAAAAACAGCGAAACAGCGTGAGATGCCAGATTAATTGGACGCATAAGTTAGAGGCCTTCGGTAAAATCAGGAATCCATGTGATCTGTGAGCGCCAGCAGGCTGCCACCGTGTTGTTGGCGGGTTTCCATCATTCTAGGATTCAGGTGCGCTGTTTTTCCCCCAGTTTTTGGGGTCGTTGCACTGTGTTTCTCTTATTTTACTGAACAGATTCAGAAACTGTATATATTTATTGATATTATGATGTTACAGTAAAGCCAACTTCTGCGATCCAATTCACCCTTTTAAAAAAATGTATTCTGTCAACATTTGACATGTTCTCTATCTATGATTTATACTTTTTATTATCGTTGCTTCAGAAAACAAAAGGACTGTATTGTTTTATAAAATGTCAAACCGTGAATTGAATTTTTTTTTATTGAAGTTTTGTAGTTCAAGAAACAATTTTGAACCCAATGCCTTTTACAGTTGAGTTAAACAAGGCAATGACGTCTCCGCCCACAAGCTATATCACTTTTATTTGGTGTACTTGAGTCTATTAAATTGAAACCCACTAGAACCTGTTGCGTTATCTGATTTCTAGTGCTAATTTGTGGTAAAGATGTGCACTATAAATGCAGCTTTAACTGCCTGTTTTTTAGCAAAATTGATATTATATTAAAAAAACAATACATGATCAATACATGTACTTTTTATACGTTGATAAAGCAACATACTATATAATAGTAAAGATGGTTATGTTTAGCAAATGCCCTTTAAAAAAAACTAGTTGTGTTTTCTTCTATCGGCAGAAGAAAACAAGTTGTGTAGTGTCATTTCCTTTTTTCACATTTTGGTTTCAAAAGCGTATTTCAATGCATCCACTTAGTCCTACAATGACAAATGTTTGAGTTTTGTTGTGTTGTTGCATAAACCAAAATAAACACTGGATTTTACTATATACCTTGTGTGTATTCTTTGTGCTATTGAGGGGAATGTTTTCTGCTCCTTCCACAAAAACTTAATTTACATCCAGTAACTAGTTACACTGCAACAATCGTATCTGTGTTCCTATTCATGCATTTGCTCTTTCTGCCTGGTTGAGTTGAATCAACACGCACACGAACATTAATGTCATTATCCAAACAAAGGAGACTTCTTGTGTTTAGTATTTACCAACTTTAATGCAGTCTCTTCAAAAACAGTCTGTATGGATGGGCTGAGTGAACACGCCACACGGATGACCTGCGTCATACGATGAAAAGAACAAGTACAAGAACAGTACAAAAAATTGTGTGTTAAAACAGAAACATTGATTTTTTTTACCCAGATAATTTGAGGATTTGTTGATCTCTTGATAGCTCATATGTGTGAATTGTATGTCTACAGTATTACAATATACAGTACAAGTTGATGTTCTTTTGGGGTAAAAATTCAAACAAAACACAAAACAATTTTGTCTCAATATAATTCAGTATATTTGTACATTTGGCCCTCACTTGTCTCCAATAATAAAGGCCGCGTGGACTGATCTACAATCCATTCAAACCATACAATTCACTTTTTAAAATAACCACTCCGCCCCAAACTACGGGTCTACGTAAGCGAACTTGATGTCGTACGTGACTTGGTGCCCGTTGTCCCACGCGTACAAAACCCCCTCTTTGGGATTGTAGTCAACCTGCGTGGTGTAGGTGTAGTTGTTGGTGAAGGGCATCCTGGGAGTCATCTGAGTGTTCGTGTGGGTGTCGAAGGCGTACTCCAGTTTGGCGTCCCTTTGGTTGAAGCTGTCTACCGCGTAAAGGACGCCGCACACGATGAAGCAGTTCCCGTAGTGGTTCCTCCGGAGCCCCGTCCTCCACGTGGTCTCCCTCTGCGTGCTGAGGTCCGACGGGTCCAGCCGGCTCAGGACGATCACCTCCTGCAAGAAGCCCTCGTCGTCCAGCGCCGGGTAAATGATCCACAGGCCGCTCTCGTCCACGGCGAAGTCGACCTCCGAGTGGCGGCGCCACTCCCACGGCGACGTCGCCTCGTCCACCAGAGCGTCGTGCAGCATGGTCCAGGCGGCCACGTAGCGCAGGCGCAGGTCGAACTTGATGATGTCCCGGGAGAGCGCGCGGTTGTAGAAGAAGGCCCCGCCGTAGACCACGTGCCCGGTGCCAATCCAGTTGTAAGGAAGCTTGTAGGAGTTGGTGAAGCGGCCTAGAAAGGACGAATAAGAGGGAGAAAGGACGAGAGTCCCTCGAAAACGAAAGGAAACACCAAGTGAATTGAGGGAAAGCCTCGGCTCTACTTCGCCTCTCACCTTGTTTGAAAACCTGCAGGTTGCGGAACTCCAGGAGATTATTTCCGTAGAGGAAGTTCGTGACGTAGATTTTGTCGTTATCCGACTTTGGATCCTTCATCCACGCTCCTTCGTTCCTGCCGTAGGCGTTGTGAGTTACTGGCTCCGAAATAGTTGCCAAAGTGTCCTTGCACTCCCCTGTGAGAGAGTCAGAGAGCCACGAGCGAGGATTCAGACGCTGTTTATGCAAAGCTGCTACGTCTGAAAATAATTAGGAGGTTTGTGTTTTAATCGGCTCGTGTCACGGAATGCTTGAGTTTGCCCTAAAAGGACCGAGCACTGAATTACTAAGTTTAAGGGTTTACAGAACAAAGTATTAATTTTCTCAATCTTTTATGAGAATATGAAAACTGTTAAGGCATGATGCCAATGCTCTTTGGTGTTTCACACCAATTACAGACAATTTCAACAAGAATCTTTTTTTTTTTTTTGGCAAAATCTTTTCTGTTTTTTTCTGGGAGGTTTTCAGATCTGGATCTTTGGATGGGAATGTCAATCTGTCCTTTGTTTGGTCATTAGATTCTCGGACAGCCATGATATTTTCTCCATATAACGACATTGATGTTTCCATGAGGGTGAAGCCAGCTCCCTTTGACGTTTCCCTCTTTTTAGAGAAACATCTCTACAACTATTGAATGGTTTGCCATGACATTTAGTAAAAAATGTGCCAAAACTGACTTTTTACATCCAGCACCACTTTTATTTAGCCTATAATTACACAAGGTATTTACATATGTGTTTATTGCTGATTGGGAACATAGAGGAGGGTGAACATAGAAAACTATTTGGCTTCTTTTAATCGAGGTATCGATTTAATGAATAGCAAATATTAAATCTTCCATTCAATCAACAATAAACTTACTTACCTGGTTTTCTTGAGGGAGATTCCTCCTGCCTTTGCATTGGCTCCTCTAATTCCGGATGTCCCTCCTCCCCATCTTCCTCCTCCCAGCTGATTTTGAATTTCGGTTTGGCTTGAGCAGCCTGTCTGGTGGTGGTCGTGCTGGTGGTGGTGGCGGCGGCGGTGGTGGTGGTGGTGGTCGCATCTGAAGGACGGGTGGTCCCAGGTGTGGTGACGGGCACCGAAGTGAGGGGAGACAACGCGACCGGCCTCCGTGTGCTTGGAGGCAAGATGGCGGACGTCGAAAAGAAGGCGGATTTAGTTTTCTCTCGTGGTGTCGCGGCAGCAGCCCGTGTGCCGGCGGCCGGCGTGGAAGCTGCGGTCGGTTGCATTGGTGCTGTGGTCACGGCGCCGTGGGCTGTGATGCTTGTAGTGGGAGGCGGAATGGTAGTCAAGGCCCCTGCGGCTGCGTTTGGTGCATGGCTACTCGAAAGAACCGCGGCGCTGCTGCCGCCTGTGATCTGCACTCGTTGTTTCGCCCCCTGGGTGGAGGACTCCGTCGTGGGTGTCGGTGCGACTTCTTCCGTGGCTGCATCTTCAGATACTCGTGTTGCTTCTATCGCAGCGTTGGTTGTTTCCTCGCCGGCGATGCTCAATGAAGTGGTCAGTTCAGTCATCGCTGACATGGGCCGGTTTCCAGCAGTGACTCGTTGAGCACTTCCCGGTGCCCTTGTCCCGGTCGCCCCCGTGGTCCCGGTCGCCCCCGTGGTCCCGGTCGTGGTCCCGGTCGCCCCCGTGGTCCCGGTCGCCGCCGTGGTCCCGGTCGCCGCCGTGGTCCCGGTCGCCCCCGTGGTCCCGGTCGCCCCCGTGGAAGTGTTTGGTTCAAACGTGGAGCTTTTCGCTGTGGAAGCGTCGCTGCGCACATCTGTAGACACTTCAACAGATGTGGTTCCAGAGGCACTGCGGAACTCCGGGGGAGTTTGTGGGGTGGGCTCGGGGCCTTTTGTCAGTGCCGTCCTCGTCCCGGGACGAGGGACTCTGTGTCGTAAAAGATTCTCCTCAACGAAGAGGTTAATTGGGCCGTCACCACTGAATCCATGATACTCAAAAACTAGAGGGAAAAAAAAGACTTGTTCAAATATCGAAGCGTCTCTGAAAAAAATTAAAATAAATAAAGTGCATGAAAAAGCAGAAGCTATCTCAGCTATGTGCTTGATTATCACACTGCTGTAATATTCCATATTTAAAAAGTCTAGAGCTAGTCGTTGTAGATTTCCCTAGTTTCCTCATGTGCTTTTAACCGATGTGAAAGTGCACTCACGGTTCTCTCCAGGATCTCCATCGTCGGCCACCATGGGATCCGGCTCGGATTTATAAAAGGTGATTCCTCTTATGATCATTCCATTGGGGCTGGTCTTTGACACCGGAGGAGCCTCCTTGTTAGCCACATTTCTGGGAGTCACCTGAGGTTTGACTTCAACGATGTGAGCAGATCCGTCCGTCTTTAGGGAGGGAGGATTTCCCCCAATGAAGGTTTCGTACGGTTCCTGTTAGTGGAGGGGACAGATGGACGACTTTTATGAGGGAAAAAAAAACATTAGTGCGACCGAATGCAGTAGAATTTGACCGATACATGCGTTTAATTACATAATGGGCCAATGAGAGTTTTATGTGAGTGCTTTCAGATGAACTTTCATCCCGCCAAGAAAAAAGAAAAACAAAACATGATAAAAACCTTTGCAGCGGTGGACTTCGACCCAGCTTAATTTAAGAAACTCGACCAAATAAAATATTTGGTTCCAGCGACACATTGCTTTCTTTTTGGTTCAGCGAGCTTATGATTACATTGTGACATCACAACAATGAGACAGACTTTAGACAAACAAAGAGTTTGGCCAGAAACAACTTTTTGTGAAGAAATAAATTGGCAGCACTTAAAACGCAGGTATTAAATGCAGCGTGATTGATGTTTCAAATGGACATCTTGAGTATTACTTTGAATGTTTACCAGAATCCTGTCTTCAAAATAAGTTTAGTTAACCTTCTGTTTGTACGAAACAAGTCTGATAATCTGACCACGATAGTGTTTCCTGGTTGGAATACATGTAGAAGTAACTATCATACGAAATATGTATGTACTAGTTAGGTGTACTATAATAGTTAATAAGTACCATTTTTATTTAAAGATACAAGCCAAGTTATGCTGTTAATGGACAGTGATCCTGTAATACAAGACACCACTTACATCTGGGTCTTGGTGTGCTGCGGTCCCGCTGACCTCAATTGGTCTCTTCTGGTCCTGGGGGGGGCCGGGTGGGCTTTCCGTTGCGTCTGCGTGCATCCCAGGGGTCTCCCGGGGCTTCACTTCAACCGCGGTGGGGTTCAGAGCTACTGCCTTCACGCAATCACGCACAAATGGAGACGTTAAGAGAAACAGCGTGCAGCTTTTCATGGAAAACTGGCTGCAATCGTCAGCAGTCATAATCAATGACAGAAGTCATTCTTTTTCTTCACTGCAGATATTTTAACTTGCCATGAAAAGCACATTGAAGACCACGCGGCTCCTTTTATGAACGATTAGTGGGAAAGTGATCCAGCATGAACAGTATCGGGACCCCGAACCTGCAGCGGCTGTGTGGAACTCAGCTCTGTGTCACATGAGCATAAGCTTATGTCTCCCTTAACTTCCCAGAATGCATTGCTAAAATAAATATCAGTGATGTCACTACAAATTCTCCACCAACGACCTCAGGTCATTCCAGCACCGGCGGAGCTGAGACGGATAAAATGGAAATGCTTGCTTTTTTTTATATGCAGCGGCTTCTTCACGCCAAGACATGGCAGGTAGTTTTACTCTATTTCTGAAATAAAATTATAGATATGTGATTGCTGTTCAATACCTGAATGAACACATCATCACGCTAAGTTTTAAGCCATTTCATTTGAACAGTTAAAATGACTAGTCTATCTCATTTAACAAACATTTGGTTTGTATTTTCATTTTTTTAACAATCAATAAAAAAAAGAAGGTATTTTTGTGAGATAAAACTTCCACGTGTGATGGAAAGTCTTTGCACTCCTTCCAGGTCCGGCCCCTAACAAATGTGGAAGCTGGCCCAGAGACTGTTGAATCCAGAAGCTCCCAATATAAAACACACCTGCTACCAACAGTTTGCAGCAAACAAAACATTTGCATTCGTTGTTTCTCACTCAGACTTTTGCTGTGTACCTTTTCCATGTTGTCCATGCGATCCAGCAGCTTGTTGGTGATGGAGTGCAGTTTCAGGAGGTCCATGCCATAGAAGGAGCCCTCCAGCAGCTCCAGGACTGTGGAGAGCTAGAATGATCAAGTTGATTCCGTCAAAAGGGAATTTACCAATTCAAGACATGCCATATGAACAGGTCGATTCCCGGCGCATCCGAACCAGGTCTCCTGAATCTGACAACCCGCGTTATCCACAAACAGGCCTGGAGCAGCACGTTGACCCTTCACCTTGACATTCTCTTTCCCGGCTTCTCTAAGTCTCTTCAGCCTGAACTCTCCCTCGCACGGGTTGACCGCTGACGGGGGCGCGATGCACGCGCACTTGCACTCGGGTCCAGATGTGATAGTCTCCACAGTGTAGAAGTCGTGCGCAGCGGCGCTCCCTTCTTCTATCCGCCGGCAGGCGCTCCTGCTCAGGGGTCTGACAACACATTTACACCGACAGTCAGAGCCTTCCGAGAGGGCTTTCACTTTGTCATAATCACCCAGCAGCTACAAAGAGAAGAGGACGGAGGAGTTTTGCATTTTGTACTTTTCACGCACGAAATTGTGATGAAATGTTTGCAAAAACGTGTGAAAGAGGGATGCTCACTCTTACCTTAGAGAGGATGCTCTCCCGGCCGTCTACCTCCTCCTGCAGCCCGTCGTCCCGCTCTGCATCGCGCTCAGGTTCTGACCTGGGGTCGGGCCGCCAGGTCTTTGGCGCTGCGGAGCACCGTGGAGAAAACGCGCAGCAGAGGACCACAACGGCGCAGAACCCGTACATCTGGTGCATCTTGCGAAGCTCACCGCGAGCAAAAACGTTGAGAGTGTGCGAGCAGGCACAGCCCGCCACGAGTCACTCCAGACGCCGAGGCAATACCATAGCCTGCTTGCTGGCTTAGAGAGGCGAGTCCAGGGGATCCATCAGTTAGCGAAGGGAAGCTGCACAGCGAGGAGGCATCTCGTGAGGAGAGACGGACCGCGCACTCCGTGAGAGAGCTGCCGGCATCTGCTGCTGCTGCTGCTGGAGGCGCGCTGACAGGAGGCGGAACCGACCGACCGGACGGCGGAGGAGGAGTTCAACTGCCTCAAATGACTTCTTCGATATGACGCTGCAGCGCAACTATTATTAGTGAGAAAAGGACGAAAAGCACCGGAGGACTTTATCTTGATCTTCGCTTTTGGTCCAACTTGGCTTCTAAAAGGAGAGTTTGAGGTCAAATGCAAAGTAACCTGTTGCAGATGGATTTGATGCGTCTCGGTCTCCCACATAAACGCTGTGGTTCTGCCGCCCTCTACCGGCTAAAGAGAGCATTACAACGACAAAGGAAGTCCCACTCCTCATCGTTCAGTCTGCCGTTACAGTGGCATTGGCGCCCCCATGTGGCCGACTGTGGCACGGAGCGACCACGTCGTTCATCAGCACCGTAGCGTCAGGACGCCAAGAGCCAGAAATGCTGATTAACCGGGGTGTGAGTAGTTGACTTGTTCACCTGACAAACAAGTTGAACGTGCTTTGTTATGAAGTGGCTTCACTCGCGTTCATCTTTATTCAGTCATCAATAGGGCACCAAACCGCGAGCGAGCTGCCGAAGGAAAGGGCCTTCAGTTTGTTCTGCGCATTTACGGGCGAAAGAAATGTGGCCTCAAAGGGCTTTAAGAAGGAATTCATAACAACGACAAAACATTTTAAATCACCTGTTTATTTGCACTTTAAGGCACATCCAATTCCTGCTCGTATTTTCATCGAACCCTAATTGTAGTGTGATCTCGGTGTGATGCGTGTTTATGTTTCTACAAAAAGGAACAAGTTTCGGTTAAGGCCCGTGGTGCCATGTCGGTTTGAGTATTTCAGAATAAGACATTTGTGGTTAAAAATAATAAACACTGTTGTGACATCAAAAGAATAGCTCTTTGTGATGCAAAATCCACAAAGCCCCCAGTTGAACTATAATTACATTTGATCAAAGAACTACCAAGTAGAAAGCACCATGACGAAAGTCCTGAATTTATTTTTTACCCCCCCAAACATCCCAAAGCCTAATCTTCAGAAAATGCAAGTGTTTCATTTATACTTGATACCTTGATCTGTAGTAAGCTTCATTGTAGTAATTGTAAAAAGCTTGTGGGTGTTTGGAACCACAGCTACGAGCCCCAGAATGACTGGAGTCACTCAGCAACAGACAGGCGGTACTTAAGTGCTGGGATTAAAAGTTCAAGAGGGACTGTTTACGTCCCTCAGCACCCTTCGTGTTCGATCTTTTGCTCCGCTGCCACAGGCAGGATGAGGTGAGAAATACGGCTCCACAGTCCACCGTACTTGTCGAGGTCCATCCTGTCAAAAGATACCGGATGGCCTTCGGAGAGGAACTTCTTCTGCAGATGGTCGTCCACCATCTCTTCCACGGCAGTCAAACGAGTCTCAGCGGGGATCTCCTCCTCCCCCCCCAGCAGCACTGTGAAGATCATAAAAGCCTTCTTGTAGGCGGCGTTCTCGTGGTCGCAGTAGCGATAAAAAATGAGCGTGGCGCCCGGGGGCAGCTCCTCGAAGCGGTTAATGACGGCCACGGGCTTGTCGCCCTCGAAGGCTCCCTGCAACTTGCTGTCGATGTCCAGCTTGACCTGGTCGCTGTCCTGGCTGGCCTCGCTGGCCCCGTCGATGTGGAGGACGGAGGCGTTGAGGGCAGACGAGAAGGCGGAGGCCAGCCTCTGAGCCAGGCAGCGCAGTGTCCTCTCGCCTCCGCGGCCCGCGGTCAGGATCAGACTGACCGGCTCAGTGGGCTGGGCCGTTTGGAGGTGCCTCAGCAGGTGGATCTGGCTCCTGCTCCAGACCTCCGCGCGCTGATGGGGGAACTGAGTCTTTACCTTTTCCAGCTGCCTGAGGAAGATGTCTTTTGGCCGCATTTCATCTTCGTGAGGTGGAGACTGGGATTGGAGGAGATGCTGCCACAGGACGGCAATCCCTAACACCAACAAACCAGCTGCTATCAACAGTGTTGTTCCTACGGAGGAGGCACGTGTACTTAGTAAGTCATGTACAAGTTGTTTGTATCATTATAATCGTGTATCAAGTAATACACAACATCCAAAGTTGGAGAACAGCTATTTAAATAACCGCTGAGATGGTAAGCTCGTAGATATTAATCACCATGACAATAAATTAAAGCAAGAGGATATAAAAACGAGGATTAATTTACAAAATTACCTCTACGATTATCAATAACATGGTCATTAACCGCTGCAGGTGGAACATCAGCAGTCTCAGGGGTAGGACCAATGGTTTCAACACATTCCACCCTCTGAGCGGAGATGGTGTTTCTCTCCTCTGTGACTTTTTCTTCCTTCCCCGGGGAGCTTTCATCGGCTGAGCGATGGGCGAAAAAACAAATGGTTAGCATATTCGTGCGCCACCATTAAACCCCGCCGGCCCGCGACAAGAACGTTAAAAGTCCAGTCGTCCATGTTTCAGAAATGGTCCCACTCACCTTCTCTGGTATCAGTGTCTGGGGCGGTGGAGGCGGGGGTTTCTTTAACGGCTTCATCTACTACGTCACCGCCTCCAGCATCAGAGTCAGGGGTGTTGGAGTCGGAGGGTTTCTCAACGCCTCCATCATCTTTGCCATCCAGGGTAAGCGTGCTGGTTGTCTGCAGGGCGTCGCCTGGTAACAATGGCTTCGATTGAGAAAACGACAACGCTTCCACAGTCCTATTTTACGAGGGATTCTTACCAAAAAGGGTTTCAATGACGCTTGCTTATTTATACTCCCAGAATTTAAAGGGATGGGCTTTCCATGTTGAATCAATTATCAGATGCCCACAAAATGAAGAAACCGTATTTGTTGCTGTAAATGTTACTTCAGTGTATCGTAGCTGCGGTAAGATCAATATTTCCTTGTGGAAACTGTTTAATGTAGAATGCAAAAACAGGGAGGGAACCTCAGCGCATTGCGTAGAACCCACACCGCATAGAACATACGGTGAATCCCCGTAAACACAACACAGTAAACTGAGCCAGCTGTGTGACAAAGAGTCCCGGCTCTACAACGGCCACATCGCTTGACACAAACACTCACTTGGAATCTTCTCCGTGGTCTTGGGCCGTTGTTCATTTGCTGGTACCTGCCTCGTGTGATCCCCCTGACTTTCTTCATCAGCCCAAAGCGCGTTTCTTTGGTCCTCCACAGTCGGCGTTGCATCTTCTGGAGGCGAAGAACCTTCTGCTGGAGGCACCATCCTCTCTCCAGCTGAATCCCCGTCCGTAACAAAAACATATCAAATGTCATCTCGGTGCTCGTCTTGACTGAACAGCAAACGTTTGATTGAACATATTTTTAGTAACATTACAGATCTGATGAAAAGAAGCATTTGGCCAAGCTGTATTTGATCAATAATGTAGGCTTACAAACTAATGTACGAGTACAACAAAGAACGTGAACACACGACAAAAGTCTTGTCAGCCACAAATGTTTGTCTATTAAATACTACTCGGGTGAAATAAAACACTTTTAATCATAGACACTTGATCACAACAGGAGATGAAAAGCATTTGGTAAAGACACTTTGAATGGATTATTATTGAAGTTACCCTCCGAGAGCCTCTGGTTGGTTTCCTCCGGTTTGCCCTCATCGGAGGCAGCGATGTGAGCTTCTGGTCCCTCGGCGTCTGAAAATAGGATGAACACGACCCACGTCAACGTCTTCCACGTTCAATTTAACGTCAGTAACCATGTTAATCCGATACAAGCGGCGGTGTCCGTCGGGTTACCTGCGGTGTGCCGGTGCTCCGTTTGTCGCGCCGCCATGTCGGAGAAACTCAAGAGATGGTCCGAACCTGAAGAAAGAAAGGAAGCCGGTGTAAAGCTAGCGCTTGCCTCCCTCATGCAAAGACCCGAGCACACAGGTCCTTATCGGTTTTAGAAGCATCGTCGTCACGTGTTCAAAGTCTGAAGTCGACGGGTCGGAAACCAAAAGCTCGCAGGCTTGCTGACCTCAGAGTGGGGGGGGACACGGGGAGCCGCGGGGTTAGCTGGTCCTCTCCGGGGCTCATTGACTGTGCGAGTCGACGCTGTAAGCACACCGACAATTCAGTGCTGCTGACAAAAGCTCGCTCGGAGAGAACGAAGCTGGCCGTAGCTCATATTCTCTGTTGATTAACCGGCTACTAGCTTACGATATAAGTGACAAACAAGAAATACTGGTTACAACAGTTAGCAAGGCGGAAGTCTGTGAGGACTGCCTACGTGTTGAGATAACAAAGATAGTGGCTTATACTTACTACCGCACGTAGCCTCGATCACATCACCGAGAAATATGACGAGTAACGTTACAGCGCTTCCTTATTGTTTAGTTTGATTTAACGTTACGTGTGTCGCACTGACAGGACGCAAACATCCGGCCGGAACGTTCCGCAGTGCCCGCGTTTCCACGGGGACAACTAAAAATGACGTTCGTTTTTCCGGATAGCCGCGGTGTATTGTCACAGCAAAATGGTTCCCCCTGACAACTATAAGGAAGTTGTGGTAGCTTGTCTGTTATCGAACGCGGTGTTTTGTCGTTTCTGTCATCGCCCGAGTTATTAAAATGGATTCCAGCGTGTCTGAGAATAAGACGTCTTACCCGTTGAGGCGATCGAAGAGGCAATCATCGGGTAACGCGAACTCCAAAGGTGAGCAAGTCGACCGTTTTACTGTTAACGCTAGCTCGTTTAGCATCGAAGCTAAACAACACTCAACGAGAAAACCGTTTCGGTTTGAGCGTGAGCCCGTTTTAGTTGACTGTATCAACCGACCGACTCGGACATTTCTATCAAATGAAATGTACGTTAAGGCGTCGCGGTTTTTAAACTTTAATTTAACTTTACAGTCATTTGGGACAGAGTGAAATATTGTTTTTCTCCTCCTTTTCTTTTTAGCATTGACTTTTGAACCGACCCCCAGAGGTCCTCTCAAGAGGACCAGAAAAGGGTTAAAAAACCATACAGCTCCCGTTCCAGATGTAAATGGTTCCGGAGATGCAGAGAGCGACTCTGGTGATGAAGGTGCGATGCTCAAGTTAAAACCACTCGCCTAGTTTCAACGGCTGGTTCCCCAGTCAACCGTTGTGATAAATGGAGACTTGTGTGTCCCATTTAGAAACGTCCCCGAGCAAGAGGAGCCGGGCGGAGACCGGCGGACCGGTGGATGGCGGCGGGGAGGAGAATGAGATGGATGTCCAGGAATCCGATGGAGATCTGGGGAAACAAGCCGACCATGAGATGGATATTATTCAAGAGTCCTCTCACGCTTCCCGTCAACCACCGACAGGCCAAGGTTAGGCTGTGTGTTAGTGATCGGTTTGCCCAAACGGATTCTTCTGTATGTGACCAATTAGTTCACAATTCCGTTGTATATCTTGTTACTTTTCTTTCACGCAAAATGAGTCAATTAACTCAGAACAAGCCAAAGTTGCTTAATGTGTGTATTTTGTTTTAACCTTTTTAGAGCACTGGTCTCTGTTTCCATCGGAGCATATGTTATTAAATGAATAAATAATGATTTAAAAATGGATTAGCTATGTATGCAGGTGCTATCAAATGTGGAATCTGTTCACCTACTGCATTATAAATCTGGGATTCATAAGACTTTGTATAACTATCAGATATAATCACAGGTTATTCTCCTAAAGGTTTTCTCTCCATAAATCAGGCGACCTTCAGAATGTGAATTTGCACCCTTGTGTTATGCTCGGCGAATGCCACAGATCCAGCGGTGCTGTAAATGCAGATGCGGACTGGATGAAAACCAAGAGTGGTAGGGGCATGCTACATTCTGCATGGGAGCCTTTACATCAATGGTGGATATTACAGTTGTCTTAATCGGGCTTGTTTGTATTCAGTAAAACCATCAACCAAGGAACTTGTAGCTCCGACTAAGTCTGCCAGGCACAACGTGTTGGTCACCAGCATGGCCGACTACAAGAAGACGATGGAGGCGAAGGCCAATGTCACTGGTATTGTAGCTGTTTTCATTTAGCCACATATTAGTCCAGATGTGAATTCCATTGAGCAGATGTCCACTGGATTTACGTCTCCCAAAAAAATGATCAGACTGGACATTGATAAACTCTTTCCCCACCTTTTAGGTATACCAACAGTTAAGCATCACGTCCCAATTGTGTACCAAGCCTCAGAGCAATGCTACACAACGCGAAAACGTGTGAATAACGTTCCAACGCAAAGATTAACTGCTCCGCACCAACAAAAAGGTATTGCAGCCTCAATATTTCAGTCATTAGCGACATCTAATGTAGCTGTGACATGTTTGACATTGATTAGATGAGTGTTTCTCTTTTAAAGGCAAAAAGAAAACTGCGGTTATCAACAAAAGCTCCGGATATTCTTGTAGAGGTAAGCTTTTGTCATTTCACATTTCAATTGAAAAATATTTACACCCATACCCCATTTCCTATACCTCAATTAAATATGGCCATGCATCCTTCCAGGCTTCATGTGGGTTTTATGGCGCTTAGTTCTCCTGGGGCTGCTCTGTCCGGTCCTCTGGCTGGCATACAAGACGATTCCTCTACCCCAAAAGACTGCGGATTGGGGAACACGTGCATCCACGGCTGTGAATCCTGAAAGGTTTGCTGATCGTTTGTCTCTTCTTGAGACTCAGTTCTCCCGTCAGCGACCCGAGTTGTGGAGGAGGAGCAAGATCCACCTGGAGAGGCACCTTAAGACAGCCCGTCCTAAAGAGCCGGTCAGTCTGATCTTCACTGCGGGCCACGGGGCGGAGAGGACACTGCGCTGCCTGGCTGAGCGGCTCGCCGACGCCTTCTCGTCTGCCCTCAACGCCTCCGTCCTTCACATCGATGGAGCCGGTAAAGCCGGCCTGGACAGCGACCAGGTGAAGCTGGATATTGACAGCCAGCTGCAAGCAGCCTTCGAAGGAAACAAACAGGCGGCTGTCATTCATCGCTTCGAAGAGCTGCCTCCGGGCTCCACCCTCATTTTCTATCGCTACTGCGACCACGAGAACGCCGCATACAAGCAGGCGTTCTTGTTGTTTACTGTGCTTCTTCCTCAAGAAGAGGTCACGGGGGACCTGAGTCTCAAGGACTTGGAGGAGAGGGTGCACGACTATGTCAAGGGCAGGCTCGTGGACTCCAGCGACCAAGTCGGCTTCAATGAGATGGACATTGACAAGTACGGGGGGCTGTGGAGCCGCATCTCCCATCTTATCTTACCCGTAGTGTCTGAGAGGGAAGTGGAGCATAACGGATGCTGATGGACCAGAGAAGTGACATCTGATAATCAGTGTGTGCTGTTACACTTCACATTTAAACATGAGTTAAAATAGTTGACTGCTGTATTGATCTCTGCCTGAGATTAGGTTGTGCTCAAAAGTCCATTGTTGACCATTCTGTTTAAGTGCTCTCAATAGTTCATCCCTGAGTTTCTACACATGCACGACGGGGCCACTGTTGCAGCAACCGCTTTCAAATCTGAAATACATTTTCCCGTGGTGATTAAGCTTACCATATTCCTAATGTCCATGTTCTGTATAGACTCCTTTGTTGAACAGCTTTTAAAAAAAAAAGAAGAACTTTTTGTCATCAATCTGCATTGATTAATTAGCCTGGGTACTCTATTTGGGAACAAATAATGTCAAACTGGTGGCTTGCTTTATACTTTGGTTTTAATGCCCCGTGGAGATGTGTCCCATTGCTCATTTAATTATCTTGTACACGATGGGATTTGCACTATTCTTTAGCTTTCTCTATCCTTCCTGTCAAGAGTGCTGGCTTTTATTAAGATAAATATGTTATATATATATATATTTTTTTTCCTTTTTCTTTATTAATATTTTAATATTTTTTTATATGTATCGAATTTAAAAGACTTGAAATGTCAACTTTGGAACATACAGGTTCTCACTAAGTGATTTGAATTTGTTAAAATAAAACATTGCTAAATATTCTACAAGTCACAAAGATGTGCCTTAAACAGTTACATGGAGAACATTGTAGTATATTAAAAACACTTGTGAATCATTCTTTACTGTATATTAACAACCATGGAACCCAAATGAGGTTCCCTGCACTGAGTTTGTTTGGATTTGTGCTAATTACATTTTTTAAATGAGAGGAAGGTTCTTTTTTCCTGCCGCTCATCTCTCTCATTTGCTCACATCAACATGTTTATATTTTCAATAAAGATCATTTTGATAATTCAAAGTCAGTGATGGATGTAACTCTCGCGTGAATAGAAACACATCCTAATGCACATTTGACAGGATTGCACATCTACGTGATTAGAGTCCACCGCTCAATATACAACGGCTCCAAACTATTACAGCACCAGCAGATCAATTGTAGCAGAAGCATTTTGAAGATGCGACAATGAGTGCTTATCTGAGACCACATTGGCATTCAGCCAGGTTTAACTAATTAAAACTTTCTAAAGCACAGGACGTATTAGTCATTATTCTATTTATTTATTGCACAGCATGAGAGATGCTGTGCAATAAATAATAATTTTTAGTTTTTAGCCTACGCTGAGTTTTATATTGACTTAATTTTACCAAAGTTGGTAATGGTCTAAACGTTCTCAGGAGGATTGTCTTTCTTTGACGCTTGTAGCGCTGGTGTATTATTAAAGATTGTAAGTGCTCAATCCATATGTGTATATGAAAGTTAAAATCATTTATTTGTAGTTTAGGGTTTAAATTGATACAGATATTTTTGTTATGTTTTATCAAATATAGTTGTATATGTGTATCTTTTTGTTCCGTCAGGAGAGAAATTACACTTCTTGTATTTTTAAGAATTTATATCATGGCCAGAACGTACATTTTTTCAGCAGAGCAGTTTCCTGTTTATAGATCGCGCTAAAGTGATGGAGTTGAGGTCCCACCTGCTCCTGCGAATACAATATAAAGCTGTTAAAACAAGGAAGTTACAACCCTGCAACAAAGCAGCTCTTCAATCGTTTACTCAGGTGCGTAGGAATGAAAAACACAAAGAGGGAGACTTTATTACTCTCTTTTGTTTATTAACCCGTATGTATAACCCTGGCAGTACATCTCGTCTAAGTGACATATTAAATATATTTGGCTCTGTAAAATCACAGAAATATTTATTGTGCTTTTACCGACCAGGAAATCCAAATTTACAGCAACGTTAATAAACAGCGTAGCGATTTCTAGGTGGACCTTGTTTTATTGGCAGGATGGCATTAGTCATCTACCATATTGTTTTTACAGTCAAAGCTCAAAAATATTTGTTTACATATTGAGCAACTGACGCATTACCCATCCAGTCTCAACCAGTCACACGGTTTGATCTGTTTATGGATTTATGTGTATGTTACTCTTTAAAGATATTAAAATAAATTACTTTATTCCTTCTCACGAACTGAACTAAGCGTCACATTCTCCTGGCGTCATCAACAACAGGCTGAGTCACGAGGCCATTAAAGTTTGCGTCAACCCATAAAAGCATAATGAGATTTGTTCAACATGTATCATATTCGATCTCCATCTATTATTTATCTATGTTTATATATTCAACATATCAGCTATAAAATGTACGGCGTAGTTTGTTTTTCATATCAGGGGAATCCGCCTCGTACACAGATATACTTAACCATGAGCAACTTAACCCTGGGAAACTTTGACCTTTATGACAGGTGTAACTTTGATAAGAAGTCGGGTGATTCATTAACCTCACTTGTAAAACGTTTATACAGCGGGTAAAATAAGTACTGAACACGTCACATTCTCAGTAAATATACATCAGCTGTTGCCGTCCCGAAAGATCCCCACAGACGCAAAGCGCCGTCTCGAGACCTTCCCAACTTCATTGTTGCAAAACATCTGATGGCTGATTGGTTACAGAATGATTACAAACTTCTGAATGTTCCAGTGAGCAATGTTGGGTCCATTATGAGTGGAAAGAACATCATCTCTCCATAAACCGGCCACGGCCAGGTGCCTCCACTTGATGGCACATAACATCTTGTGAAGTTATTTGTTTGGGTTTCTTTATATGTGTGAATTATTTGTGTTGTTACAGACATCTGGTCAAGATTCCACGTCAATAGAACCTTTAGAAATATATTTACTGAGAAATGGTGACATGTTCAATACTTATTTTACCCGCTGTGAATGTTGTATTTAAACAGTGTGTGGTGTATTTAGTCTAAGTGGTTTGTACTAGTAAATTTCATTTTGAACATGTTTTATTGTTATTTTGGAATCAATAAATCATGGGGCATCAACCAGGAAAACCCAATTACACAATATCAACAAATGGCATTGTTTGGAAGAATAGATGTATTTTTTAATGTGCAGGTCAAAGCAGCAGATTACAAACAAGGTACAGAGACTAGTGCAAACAATGTAACATACACAATTACTAACCTATGAATAAAAAAGCAATTCCCTTTTACACCTGATTATGCACAATAGTGCAAACTTGCAGTAAGAAATCTGGGATTTGAATTCAATCCACATTCATGAATAAAACATTCATGAAAGTACCAGCAGACCTTCATGCACATCCCTGCTCTTGATGACATCCGAGTATCATGACAGCCACAGTGACACCAAAACACAAGAATGCGACGATGAAGATGACTGAGACAGCGATGACGATCCCTTTAGCTGCACCGAGCTTCTTCTGGGAGAAAAAGAAAAGAAAAGAACCGGCGTGTTGACTTGCTGTTGTAAAACGGTCAATGCAGCTGGACATATTGTCATGTGACAGGCGCTCACCTGTTTTCCTCTTGGCCTGCCCCTCTCACGGTTTGCTGGACACCCTGTAACAGAGAAATAGTGAGAGGTGTTTTCATAAGACTGCATGTTGTGTTCAATGTGTATCTCTGCTAAGGCTCCCACAGTACGTGAGTTAGTACGTGTGATTCACCTGTTTTCCTTCTCAGCATCGCTTTCCTTTGAGTGCTGCTTAGGAAAACCCACATTTCAAACAGCAGTAGTAACACTGTGAAAGCTACCATCACTTTCAGAATCCGAGAGTCCGTCCGGGTCCCTTTGTGTTTGTCAACCTCCAAAATACCAACAAAGATGGCAGCAGCTGCGTGTAAAACATATTTGGGAAACAATCAGCGCGATGGACAAGGCGGCGGCAGCTCAGAGACGATGCAGCCGTGATTAATGAGAAGGCAAATAAGCAGATTTCCTAAAATGTCAAACTTCACATTAAACAAGTCTTCCCTCAGACATTAATTCAGTGGAGTCCACGAGTTATATAAGAAAAGCAGGTGAATCTCCTCACTTGTGAAGGTCTGGTGGATGAAGGAAGACACTTTGACAACGTGGTCACTGATCTCCTTTCTTGAGCAGAGCAAAAGAGGAACAATGACCGTTGATGCAGTTGAATTTCAGGTCAAACATTCAGGAATAAGAAGTAAGAAGAGGAAGTTATTCTCACAGTTCATGACTGGGTCCAATTGGCAGACAGACGATCACCAGCTCTATGATATTAAACACTATCGCCACAGACACAAGAGCCACGAGAGAGACCTAGACGCGCCCAAACAGACGCAAACACACAGTCAATACAACCTCATACGGCTTAGGATGTGGATGTAGAGACATATCTGACACCGCTCGTCATATCTTACGTTGATAGGGTTGGCCAGACAAAACAAGGCCAGAGCGGATGTTTCAACAACCCCACACAGCACCACGAAGAATGTCTGAGACACCTGCACAAGAAACACAAGGTGTGCTAATTTGCAATGCTATTATAAATACAGATACGAAATGCAAAAACAATAAGGAGTATTTGGAAATGACCGAAGCTAAGTGGATGGAAGGAACCATTAAAGTGTCATTTGGGTTGGCATTCTGAAAGAGTCATTTGACACCACTCTCTGTGTGAGATGACAGGTACTGACAGCAACACGACCCCCCCCCAGTGCCGTACCTTATTTAGATGACGAGAAAAGGGGCCGTCGGAGAGGGCAGTAAGAAATATATTTGACAGTTCCTGATGGGAGATAAAGAGAATTATACTTTTCATTATAGTGAAACCTTTATCTTGTAATTGTAGGGCTGTTCACTGAGTGACATGACTTCATGAATAGCGTACCATTTTAAGTACCCCCAAGAAAAGGACAACATTCATCTTCACAGTGCCGGCTTTCTGGAGACAGATCAAGAGAAACAGCCCTGTAAATAAAAGGTTGATGTATCAAAAGGCCAGTGTGTCGCATTTTGAAAGGGAATCTCTTAGCAGGAAGGCTAATATAGTATTTATATATTCAGTATTGCATGACCAACTGAAACTCCGATGTGACAGGATTTTAAAACTCCAAAAAGTTGTACCGCCGCCCACTGTCTGAATTTGGTTGGGGGCGTCGTCCTGGTGAGGATGGCCTTTGAGGCGAATGGCGTGGCCACGCTTTTGCACTCAGCGGCGAGCGTTACCACTGTCTCGGGAAGTCCTAATTGAGCAGCGGGGTGCTTTGCTTTCAGCCTTCCACCACACCGCCAGATTCCACAAAATGCCACACACTTTGAATACCTTGAATGCGGGAATCTGCACAGCGTCGTGCTGCTTACCTCCAATAGGCTGGAAATATTGTCCGCCTGCTGAGTGGCCGTGCTTGTAATAATTGTAATTGGTTTAGTACTTATTGTAGTACTTTTACTGGTACCCGGATGAGGACTTGTAGTAGTGCTTGTTTGAGTACTCGTACTAGTAGCTGGATGAGTACTTGTAGTAGTACTTGGTTGAGTACTAGTGGTAGCACTTGGTTGAGTACTTGTACTACTACCTGGTTGAGTACTTGGAGGAGAACTTGTAGCAGTACCTGGTTGAGTACTCGGTTTAGCACTTGTAGTAGTACTTGGTTGAGTACTTGTACTAGTACCTGGATGAGTACTCGGTTTAGCACTTGTAGTAGTACTTGGTTGAGTACTTGTACTAGTACCTGGATGAGTACTTGGAGGAGCACTTGTAGCAGTACTTGGTTGAGTACTAGTAGTAGCACTTGGTTGAGTACTTGTACTAGTACCTGGTTGAGTACTTGAAGGAGCACTTGTAGCAGTACTTGGTTGAGCACTTGTAGCAGTACTTGGTTGAGTACTTGTAGCAGTACTTGGTTGAGTACTTGGTAGAGTACTTGGTATTGGGGTGGGGGGTGGAAGAATTGCATCCACTTTTGTCCAGAATGTTTTATAAGTCTCAGAAAATGTGGCTCTGAAAAATATTAAACAGAAACATGTTGTTGACAAACGATATTGCTTTGCATTAAACACACTGACCTTTGGAGGGCAGTCGAAAGGTACAAATACCTGAAAGTCGTACTGGCGCCTGCGTCCTGCGGTGCCGTCCAGTTGACACAAATCCGAGTCTTTCTTCTATTATTCTTGTGACTGACAACCGAGCCCTTCAGAGGAGAAAAAAAAGTAAAGCAAGCATATTAAGGCTTTGACTTAAAAAGTACCCTTACATCTCAATTCAATCTGTTAAATAAGTTGATGGGAAATATTAAACCAATGTAATGTTTTTAATAACTGTGATGATGCCAAAATGGGACGATTACTTACTCCTGAACCACTACAAGTCAAGAGTTGATCTAATCCAGAATCAAGCAAGGTGAATTTTCCAAGAGGTGGTCCTTCTTCTTTGCTCGTGTCCAGAGCCTTCAACATAAATCCCATGAAATCTTTGCCTGTCGGGCTGCTGAGACAGACTGCAGAACGGTGTGAGGATTCATTGGGGAGGAGGTGCAGGGAAAGAAAAGAAAGACAGCGTTAGAGGTGAGGTACTTAGGGAATGACCACCACGAATATAGATGGTGCTGAACAACTCTCCAGGAAGACGGATCCAATGGTCTCCATACCTGTGATCGGGTCTCTAACGTGTCCCTGTTGGTAAGAAACCTCGTAAGGCGGCTTCGAGGTCTGAGGATCGGCACCGTGCAGAGGTAACATAGTTCCACACGCCTGTGGGAAGTAACCGCTCGCATACCCGTAAACCATTGAGATGATGTTAAGTCCAATCAGAATAAACGTCCACATCTGTAAAACAAAATGACTTCTTCATAACCATCCACTGGGGATTAATAATCCTGACCTGAAACACCGTCACTGTGACATTCAGCTGATGCATCGGCAAGTTTCCTTCCACATACTCCCGCGACTTTTGAACAAGGCAGAAGGAAAACGACAAATTAACAATTGCACACTATTCTGTTAATAAGCCTTTAAACTAACCCGCAGGTTAAAGTCATCTCATATCATTTGGAAAATGGAAATGATAACAACTAAATTTGGCCTAAAAGTGACACATTTTCAGAGAGCTCTCCCACGGTTTCAAGTTCAAAACGGATTTAAAGCATTTTGAGTCCCCGTGGCAATTATTTAAACAGCGTTAATAACAACTCTTACCTTAAAGTATTTGTATAACATCTTCCTGAAACATGTGTTCCAGTAGAGATGTCACTCTACGGTCTTACACCCCTTCGCCCCTTTTGGCTGTTAAAGTCTCTTGGAGGGAGAAAAGGAAGAAAGCTCTGAGATGGATCCTCCTTCCTTCCTTGACAGCTAAGCGCAGTCTGAGCTTCGAGAGCCGAGCAGCTCCTCTGAAGGAGGAAGTTATAGAGGACGACCTCAGTTATCAGCCGATCCCACACACGCACACGCACACGCACACACACACACACACACACAAACACACGCACACACGTACACAGAGCTGAATGATTAACAAAGAACTGTTTTCCTTTATCTGACCTGTGTCGCAGGCTGTTTCCAAATTGTGTTGGTTACCAACCTGCACTCTGCAGTCTGCAGGTTCCTTTATTTCCTTCATAACTTCTTCTTCTTCTGTTGAAATGATGTGTTCCGATTGACAGAGAGCAGCTCTGATTTCTTTCAATGGCTGAACTGCATAATAAATTTATTGTTTTTCTTTTTTATTAAGCTTCTTTCCGCTTTTTTCAAAATATGTTTATGTCATATTTAAAACATAGTTAAACACAACAAGGTTAAAGGTCAATGGTGTTTTATTTTTCTCTAACGAGAGCTTGAAAAAAGGAGATATTAAAACAGTATAGTTTGTATATATATTGTATATGTGGATGTATATTTATGTGTCAGGGTTGAGGGTGGAAGGCAGGACTCAAATGCAGACTTCTCCAAACAAAACACTTTAATAGTCAAAAAGGTCAAAAACACAGGAACCGGGGGCAAAAGCACATAGGCAAAAAACTACAGAGATCCAGGACGAAAGACAAGAACAAGCGTGGCAAAAGACAATGACGCGACAAGTGACACAAGAGACACACAGCTTAAATACACAAGGGAGGTGCAGGTGATTGGACACAGGTGGAAACTATTAGACAATCACAGGGGACAACGGACCAAGGCAGGAAGTGAAGTTACCCGGGGACACAAGTGGCAGAAAACTACAAAATATAACATGAAGTGAACCACACCGTGACATTTATGTATATATATATATATATATATATGTATATATATATATATATATATATATATATATATATATGTATATATATATATATACTTTATATATTATGTATGATAATTGTTGAAGCCATACATTTGCTGATAATGATGAATGGATTTGGATTTATAAACCACCTTTTTCGAGTCATCTGACATTTCAACACTCCATTCACACACACACACACACACACACAAACACACACACACTCACAGACACACAAACACAGCGATGGTGAGAGCTGCCATTAATCAGAGGATAATCTAGTCTCTAAAGCACAGTGTTTTTACTAAAGATTAGTGGACAACGCACTCGTGAGCCACAGCCGGTGTCCATGAGGGAACATTTGCTTTGGTGGGGATGCACTACCATCAATTGAAATCTCAACCACTTGACTCATAATAAAAACTTAACATGTGGTCTTTTGCAAAAAGCCATTGTGTCTTTTAATGCATAGAGAAACTCAAAATTGCCGATACCTTTCATTTGCTTTTTACTCAGTGGCACCATTAACAAATGAAATATTACATACAAGCGTATTCAGTTGCATTACAACATAAAAGCCAAGCAAGAAACATTTTATCAAACAAAATCTAATTATAGTGAAAACATCTTCACAAATGTGAGAGTGTTTATGTCTCTACTTCCGCTGTGACTATTTAATTACATGTTTTATGTCCACAAAAAACATGACTCCCTTTTTTAAAGTGCCAGTAAATAAATGCAAATAACAATTCAAGTTGCATGGTCCAATAACAACTATTTATTATGACAGGATAAATAGAAAAGGTCTGATTTGAATATTGTGTGGATTGCTACAAAGTGCAAAGTGTCAGCCCTTTATTTCCATATTTCAGCAGGATTACTTTCACCAAGTACACATTTTGACTTTAGCAAACGAGAGAAAATTCCATAATTTAACAGCAACTACAACATTGATCCACGCGATATTTCTTGCATTCTAACCGGCTGTTCTTCAGCTCGAGTTTGAATGACCAATCGCTGCAGCAACGACTTCAAATGACTCCTAAACTTCACACCAACAAACACATAAAAGACGGGGTTCAGGCAGCAGTGGGAGAAAGCCACGAGCCGGCACACATGGAACGTGTAGTCAAGGTCGATGCTTGCGCCGCAGTTATCGGATGATGCACCCACGTCAGCCAACACCTGCAGAAAGATGACCACGTTGTACGGCACCCAGCCGAGGAAGAACACGGCCACGATGGAGAAGACTAACTTCACTGCTCTTCTCCTTGTGTGAGATCTCGTTCTTGTGATTTTCCACAGTAATTGAATGTAGCAGAAAGCCATTACTGCAAAAGCGACCAAAAAGAAAATGTTCTGTTGGAAAACACTAATGGTTTTCCACAGGCGGTCTTGGTACTCGCAGCCCAGGGAGTGGTTATCTTTGTGGGGGATGGAGACAATGGTGGTGTAGAGCAGGGAGGGAAGGGCAGCTCCGACGCTGATTATCCACATAACAACAGAGATGTAAATACTGGTGCTGGGTCTCTGTGGGATCAGGATGGACTGTGGGTGGACCACTACCAGATACCTGTAGATGGTCATGATCGTCAGGAAGAGGACGCTGCTGTAAAAGCCGGTGAAGAAGATAAAAGTCACTATTTTGCAGAGGACCTTGGAAAACAACCATCCCCAGATGTGGTAAATTGACCAGAAGGGCAGTCCGGCGGTGAAGACGAGGTCGGAGATGGCCAGGTTCAGGATGAAGATGTTGGTGAGAGACTTGAGGTTTTCGTACAAAGCGAGGATTACAAGGACGAGGATGTTTCCTATCAGGCTCAGTGTGATCACAACGGAGAAGAAGACAGGAACGGCAATGGATCCAAACTTGACCACCTCCTCCTTTTCACACACTTCATCGTCGTAGTTTCTGTCATATTGGCTGTCGTTGAAAGAGTCATTCATTGCTGTTCAACTAGATCCTAGAAGAAAAGACAGGGCTACTTTGTGCGCCGTTTTATGTTTTTCTAAGTCATGTCAAATAGAAGAAATAATAATGTATAAAATGTTGATAAATGTTAATAAAATTTGTTTTTTCGTGTTACACCAAAACCACATTAATACGTGTAAAAGAGTACATCACATTGTAAAGGTAAAAACGCACCTACCTCTTGCGTGATGGAATTGTTGCAACGTGGGACGCCTTCTCCGCACTCAGAGAGCTCAAAATGGGGCAGCTATATACCCTCGTCACAGGAACGGCTTTCTGTTTCCAGTTCCTATTTTATCCAAAATTGCCTGCAATTCATGGCATCCATGACACATGTGTGGTTGAGATTTCCAACCACACATTTCAGATTTCAGACATGGTGCTTAGGCTGAGAGGGGTTCATGATGCTCACACCTTTGAACAATCTGGGCGAGTAAGTAAAATTAAACTAAGTAACCAGCACTTCCCAGACACTAAATGAGATATGAGACTGAAAATAGATACTCCGGAAGCGTGTCACTTTCACAACACGTTTGTACTTCTGGGAAACAGATTCTTTTTTAAGAATGCTAAAAATGTATTAAGCACAGGCAGATATGGCCGGACTCCACTACAATTGATCTGTTATCTGGGTGTCATATTTAATATCAGGCTATTTCACTTTTTTAATATTTTCTAAATAAAGACTTAGCATGTAATAAAAGGCAAATCTATGTGATTTTGTTGTTGTTAGTTTTAAACAGAATTAACGGTGTAGGGGGGTGCAATTGCACTAATTAGTCCATAATTTTCGATAACAACAAAGGACCGAGGAGAAGTGGGACGCGCATTTATGAACGTAAGTGTGATCACATGACAGCTCTGTTTACGCTGTTATGTCAACCAAACTACCCCGATTTAAGGTTCCGCCCACCAACCTCTAGTCATTGGTCAGAAGGCTACATGGCGCTTTGTGAGTGGACGACACAATGTCAATCCTAACACTTTCAACAAGTTTGTATGCTTGCATTAAATATCTGGTTTGTTATGGACTTGAGTTATATATGTAAAAGTATGTCAAAGTTATTTTTATTTTCTTATGATTTTACCTGAAGCTATAAGAAATAGACTGTCTGTATCTTTTCTCGTTGATGTCACGGTAACTTTCAAAATGTCCGTCAAAGGTTCACTGTGTCAAAGCTAACGTTAGTTAAATATTACGTTAACTCCACCGGGAGAGCCTCGAAAAGAACAGAAAGCGCCCGTAAACGCCCAGAACCCAACTCGTGGCTTCTTATCAGCATCTCTTCGATGTTCGATAACAACATTGGCGCAGTTCGAACTGATAGTAAACAGTCGTTAAACCGATTTCAAACTGTTCAAACACAACTAACGTTAACCTGGTTAGCTGTTAGCTAACGTTAAAAGTAGGGTTGTGTAAGTTCGCTAGTGTTGTGGTATTTATTGTGTCAATACTCGTGTAGGTTCCTGCCTCTGACGTTGATTACATTCCTATTCTAAAGCGTTTTTTATAACAAAAAACAGGCAGTGGCAGTTTTTTTGCATTGTTTGTTTAATCGGTCCTGCCTTACTAACAGGAGTTTACAGGAGTGGGACCTCGTCATTATAGGTCCTACTAACCAAGTATTGCTATGATTATGGTGCTGGTGTCTTATGGACATTGGGTTGAAACCGTACATATCTTATTCCACACGTATTACAAGCTTCTCGCAGGACATTAGTTCATCTTACCCTGCAGTTTTGCAGTATCTGATCATGTCACATACAGACCAGTGATGGACGCACAGGAAAGTAAAGTGACACGTATTGTGCAGATCAAACACTATCAGAGAGCTCTGTGTCAGACATTTTTGTGTGCCGAGCGTGCCACGAGAGTGTAGACCACGTCGGGGGCGTTCATGTCCATCTTTTGTTCCTGACCGCCTCCGGTTCTCTGACTCAGCAGACTGGCCGTGACCCCGTGACCCCTGGTTGCCAGGGAGAGAGCGCCGGGGCCATGGCTGCTGCGGCTACAGTCGGGGAGAGCCAACTGCAGAGGATTATCCGAGATCTGCACGGTACGACAGCTTTATGTGCGTGTGCGTGAATGAATGAATGGGTTTGGCTGCAGGCAGTTGTCTGCTCGCGTGGCGTGACCGAAGAGAGGAGAAGTAAGAGACTCGATGTGATGTCACGACTCGAGCGTCAAGTCCAAGTCCAATCCTTCCAACCTGGAACTATCTGACCTTTTCCTGGTCGTCAAACAATTTGGGAAAACGTGCAGTCGGCCTTACATTCCTTCGTAAAGGGTGTGGTGGAAGCCGCTGTCAGCATGCAGCGAGACAGAGAGCGCGTTCTGAGGATTCACCCGTCACAGGTGTCCTTCCAGTTTTTGCGAATGATACGAGGCAAGTGGTTCATCTACAGACTAGTTGTGCTTCAAGAGGGTAGAAATGGTAAAGAAGCAAATAACAGTGAAGATTTAGACAAGAGAGGTGTGTTTCGGTGTGATTGTGTAACCAAAATGCACCAAGAGGTGAAATATTAGTTTAGTTTTAAATTTGACAAAAAAATATGTGACTTTAGGTAAAAGCAACGCCATGTTCTGCCTTTTTTATGCTTCTTCCCCACATTCAAATGTATTATACACCCCATCTGTTAGAAGCAAATGTCGATTAATGGACATTGTTTTGCTGTTATTCTAATCCCTGATCTTTTTTCATTTCTGAACCACGGAATTTCAGAGGCTGTTGCAGAGCTTGCTAAGGAGTACCGGGAAAGTGGGGAGCCGATCACTGATGACAGTACCACCCTGCACAAGTTCTCTTACAAACTGGAGTACCTGCTGCAGGTGTGATTTATTCATAAATACTACATTATCAATGCCATGCCTTGCAATATGTTTAACAATTTTCCGTTGCAACTGTACCTCTCTCTCTCTCATATATATATATATATATATATATCAGTTTGACCAGAAGGATAAGACTACATTTCTTGGTACTAAGAAGGATTATTGGGAATACTTCACTGACTGCCTGGCTAAAATCAAAGGAGCCAATGATGGGATCCGCTTTGTCAAATCTATCACTGAGGTAAGAATTTGTTTGTTTTATACAAACAGCTTGTAGACAAACTCATTCATAGTCAGCATATTACTTGTTGTAGACATTAGTTGGCACGCAAAACAGACTGATGTACTAGTACGGGAGCAAAGCATTATGGACTGGCGCTGCAGCAAAACGTATTTTAGCAACCTAAAGAACTAAAAGACTAAGCGAGAGTTTAAATATGGAGATTTGAAGAGAATTCCGATAAAATTGGAAAATGAGAAGATGAGAAAATCTTCAAGCTTTACACCTTAAACAGATTGAATTATCATTTTGATTGAATAATCAATTATCGGTTAGTTTTTAGCTTCCGATGTGCACGTAAAACAATGTATTTATGTGCCTTGGTAGCTGAAGACCTCTCTGGGAAAAGGACGGGCGTTCATCCGATACTCCCTCGTACATCAGCGACTGGCTGACACGCTGCAGCAGTGCCTGATGAACCACAGGGTCACCAGGTAAAACTGTCACAGCGGAATAGTTTCTCTGCACTCTTGTTGAAGTGAAGGCGAGCTGAATAGAGAAATGGAACCGTCATTGGATTGGATGGATGGGTGTTGTTCTTGTGTCGTGCTGTTTTACTTCTCTATTTCGTTGCTTTCTTCTTTGCAAGTGTTAAAATATGGGACGAAACATCCTTTTTTTTAGGCCCCATTATTGTTTCTTGTTGTTGTACTGTGACCTTTACCTCATCGCTTCCCCCCCAGCGACTGGTACTATGCGAGAAGTCCCTTACTGAAGCCCCACCTCAGCGTTGACATAATCAGTCACCTTTACGAACTCAATGAGGTCCAGTTTGACGTGGCCTCCAGGGGTCATGACCTTGATGCTGCCTGGCCCACTTTTGCAAGGTAAAAAACAAATCATGAAAATACTAAAAGATATGTAGATATGTACTAAAAGCCATTTTTCTCATCAACAGGAGAACACTGGGAAGTGGTAGCTCACCCGGCCACATGTGGAAACCACCCAGTCGCAGTTCCAGTATTAACAGTCTGGCCAGCACTTACTCGCAGGTAACAAATAAAAATAATAAAAATCACATCCTGTCATTTTTCCATTCTAGTAAAATAATTGCGTTATAATCATCACTCTTCCTCTCTTCTGTGCCACATCCTCTGGTTTCCATTGCGACCATCCAGCAAGCACACGAGTTCCCCTCCAGCCCTGATTATGGTCACGGCCTGCTAAGTGACCTGAACGAGTCTCTGCCGGCCTGCAACGAGGACGTCAGCACAGTCGACGGTCTTCGCCTCGAGCTGGACCAGTCAGAGCTGAAGCAGCGAGAGCTCCTCGATAAGGTGCAGCAGATGGGCGAGGAGGGCGCTGAGCTCCGGGATGTAGTCGTGCAACTCCAGAGGCAGCTGGACGTGTCCCTTGCGGCCCAAGAGGAGCAACGGGGCTTGCATGGAGATCTCAAGGCTCTGAAGGGAAGAGAAGAAGACTTGTCCAGAGAGGTGGAGGCACTCAGGACTGGGAAAAAAGCCAAGGAGGCTGAACAACAACTGGTCCAGGAGCGGTTGGCAGCTGCTGAGAGGAAGAACTTAGAGCTCTTGGCCAAGTTGGACGGGGTTCTGAACGAGAAGGGCCAGCAGGCAACAAGTCACTTTGATTCTGCTCAAAAGATACACAAGTTGCTGGACAGACTGAAAGAGGCAGAGAGAGGGAAGATGGAAGCTGTAGCTGAGATGGAGGAGAAGAAGAGACTGGCAGAACGGCTAGAGGACGAGCTGAGGGTCAAGGAGACGGCTGCGAAGCGCCTGGAAACGAAACTCGCGGCACTTGTTGCATCTGCGTCCGAGGAGAAAGCCAAGTTAGAGGCGGAAGTGGAGGAACAGCGCAAAGCCATCGATAAGCTGCAAGGATCCTTGACAGTAAGAGAGAAGGAGACGAGCAACCTCCAAAGGCAGCTGCTGGACCTACAAGGATCTCTAGAGGAGAAGGAGAAAGAGGCGCTGGAGGTGAAGATCAGCGCACAAAAAGATAAAGATGCGATGCAGAAGAATGCAGGTTTAAAAGAGTCCTTAGAAGCAGAAGTCACTGCCCTTAAGGAGCATCTAGAGAGGAAAGAGGCAGAGTTTACCTCCAGCTGCAAGACACTACAACAGCTAGAAGCCAAGAACCAAAGCCTGACCGCAGAGAGGGACCAACTGACCACCAACCTTGTGGAGCTGGAAGGTGACGTCAAAGACCAGGCCATGAAGATAGAAGACTACAAGACGCAGTGCACCAATCTGATTGAACTAAACAGGAAACTGATGACCACAGTGAAGAGAAGCGAGGAGCTGAAGAAGGAGATGGCGGAAACCCG